ATCAATTATAATTGGTGATAATTGTATCAGAAAATAGGCGAATAAATAATCGATTATAATTGATTATAATGGATTACAATTAATTATAATTTGATTTTAAAAAGAGAGATTATAATCGATTATTAATTGATTAAAATTGATTGTTGCTCAATTTTAGTAAGACTGGTACTAAAATCGTAATATAATCGATTATTAACGCTTGAAACTGGTTGCGGGTAATAATAGATGCTTCATCTCTTTTTGATCGCTATTTATCAATTGTTTCTGGATAACTTCGTAAAAAAGTGTTTACTTTTTCATTCAAGGAATTTCGTTGTCTTTTTTCATGATCAAAATATGAGCGTTGCGGGGAGGGGGATAATTGTAAGGCTTGGGTGTAAATGGGGATTTAATTTTAGTATCAAAAAATTATAGCCTTATTAAATTAGATTTTGTGCATTGACTTTCTGGGAGTCGTGGATGTTATCCCTAATCATTTTTTTTGTGTTTTTATTGCTTCGATTTGTTAAAAAAAATTGAAAACTCATCGTAAAATTTCGGCAAAAAATAGGTTATTGTCAACTATAACGGTTTAAAATTTAATAATATGGACGTTTGTTTTTCAAAAAATGATATTAACGGTACTATAATCATTTTCATGAACTAAAATTTTTTACATCCGTAATCGATTAGAAATGTTTGGCTCGGAAAACTATTGCAAAGGAATATTACTCAATGCGGGCAAACTAAACTAAACTCAACAACTATGGAGAGAATTATGTTGTTTCCAATCTTCGATTTAAATCAATGTCAAACCATGTGATTAGTCACTAATTTTTAACACAAAGGCTCACTGATATATTTGTTCAATCGGAATTTTATATCGTTTCCAATCTTCGATTTATATCAATGTCAAACCATGTGATTCGTCACTTATTTTTAACACAAAGGCTCACTGATATATTAGTTCAATCGGAAATTTATATCTCTGAAGTTTCGTGATACGGCGCCAAACGTGTCAACAGAAAAATAAACAGCTGGTTGAACAAAAATTGAGATAGTGAAACAAACACAAACTCTATTGAAATCTTTTTTGTCTTATTAGCTATAAAGACTATAGGTCATCTCCAGTGGCGTGCGCAGAAATTTTTCTAGGGGGGGGGCGGTTTTTCGAAAAATTTCAAAAATTTTGCGGACCTATTTTTTTAGGTCGGTCAATGTGATTTTCCAATTCCAAGCTCTCCGAAATACCATAAGGACCTTATTTTTTCAAAAATTCTCCGCGCCGCTTTCTGGGGAACCTTTGGAAAAATTTGGCAACCAGAATTAAAGGGGCGAACCGGTCATCCCCCCCCCCCCCTCCCTCCCCCTCGGCACACTGCTGGTCATCTCAATAATTTATAAGTTTTTCCGTGAAAGATAAGATTGCTAACCTGCACTTGGAACAATGCTTCTTCTGGTAAGTTCGGTATGAAAACCACAGTCAATGCAGTCAGACTTTTGTTCCAAATCTCTGGTTCCAAAATTTTCTCTATAAAAATGGAAGCATGTAACTTTAAACTTTAAATTTTTAATGGATGGAACTTGAAAGGCTTTATTGGTTCTCTCAATTGTTTAAATAAATCTACCTGAAGAAGTAGCTAGACCGCCAATTGTTGAACTAAAAATAATACGGCCATTTGCAGTGACCCCCGCCACCCACAAAGAGTACTCAGTCATGGACATTAGGGGTCCATTACACACTTGATGAACAGACACATCGGGGTCACACAAATCCACGCCTATGTCCACGAACCAGGACTGGTCTGTTGGGTCGATGTTGAATGACATTGGGTAACTTTGTAGGGGCAAGGCATGATAGTGGGATGCAGTTGTTATGTAGTTGGACCAGTACATAACTAAAAATTCTAATATTTTTGCAGCGATAGCACCAGTTTTTTTTTAGAAAATTGGAATAGGAAACTTCCGAAATAATAAAGAACCACCTGCGTCGTATAGTCGTATAGTATCTTATTACTCAACTTTTGAGAAACTTCTCAATGTAAGTTAAAAATATCCAATAATTTTTTCCAATGAATTTCAAAAAAGTTTTCGTTTTTTTTCTACCATCTTCTTGCTCATGTCTTATAAGCTGCAGTTGATGAAATCAAAATGATCATCGGCTGTATTAATGAATAAAAAACTTTTGAGAATCAATTATTCAATATAAGAAAGTTGAATGAGTTCTTTTTCGAATCAGTTCTAGCAAAAAAAAATCTATAAAAAAATCATTCTACTCTGTTCCAATCTACCCTACACACTTCTGCCTTTTGGCCTTCTACCTTACGTTTCATTTTATTTTATGGCAAATTAATTTAGTCTTCCATCTTTTTGATCTCCCGGGCCAAAGTCCGCAATTTATTACATTTTATTATTGGATAAATTAGATATTTTACCACTGTAAAATATTTAATATTAACCAATCATAATCCATCCAACTAACAACCCACTTATTTGTAAGTGCTGAAATTACTTGTAATTTCAGCACCAGAGAGATTTGAATTTAACTTAGAAATTAGTTACCTCTCCAAGAGAACTTCAGCAGTCGCAATAAGCCAGTATACTTTAGATCTATTGAGCCTAGCAGAGACTAGTTAAACACCCTGAGACTAGTAGATATAAGAGTAAGATTAGGATCGGTTTTAGACTAAGAAGTTGCACGAATCTATCCGGCCGAAAATAAGATAGCGCGACGAGCAGACGGTGTACCCTATCCGAAATTACTCTATGAGTTAACCTCAACAACATAACTCACAATCGAATTGATTTTCCGCGACCCAAACTCCATGTCCCCACCCGAAATTTGAGTTGGGCAAAGTCGCATTATTGGTTTCCCAAAATCGCAAAATAGCTGCATAAAATGGATCGCGCAAACTCGCAACATGAGTCGGGCAAAATCCCAGCATGTGTCGCGCAAAAAAATTCGAGCAGTTTAGTAATAGAATTTTTCACTCGTAAAAGCGTAATGCAGGTAAAAGTTGTAAAAAAATCCAGTTTATAGGTAGTGTTAAGGTTCAGTAAGCTAGATCAAAAAATCTGCTGATCATATACAGGACCGCCACAAAAAGGCCTACACATGGTCCCAAAGTAATAAAAACAGGCATTTTTTGGGGCAGTTTAAGTCACTCAAAAACATGTTTGTCACACAAAATTGCAAAACTATTTTTGTTAACAAGCACAAATTGCAATACACGTTTTTTGGGTCAAGCAAAATCGCAGAAACAATTCTGTAGCGCAAAGTCGTAGCTAAAAACATTTCGGTCTCAAATAGGACTGGTCTGTTGGGTCGATGTTGAATGGCATTGGGTAACTTTGTAGGGGCAAGGCATGATAGTGGGATTCAGTTGTTATGTAGTTGGACCAGTACATAACTAAAAATTCTAATATTTTTGCAGAGATAGCACCAGTTTTTTTTTAAAAAATTGGAATAGGAAACTTCCGAAATAATAAAGAACCACCTGCGTCGTATAGTCGTATAGTATCTTATTACTCAACTTTTGAGAAATTTCTCAATGTAAGTAAAAAATCTCCAATAATTTTTTCCAATGAATTTCAAAAAAGTTTTCGTTTTTTCTACCATCTTCTTGCTCATGTCTTATAAGCTGCAGTTGATGAAATCAAAATGATCACCGGCTGTATTAATGAATAAAAAACTTTTGAGAATCAATTATTCAATTTAAGAAAGTTGAATGAGTTCTTTTTCGAATCAGTTCTAGCAAAAAAAATCTATAAAAAAATCATTCTACTCTGTTCCAATCTACCCTACACACTTCTGCCTTTTGGCCTTCTACCTTACGTTTCATTTTATTTTATGGCAAATTAATTTAGTCTTCCATCTTTTTGATCTCCCGGGCCAAAGTCTGCAATTTATTACATTTTATTATTGGATAAATTAGATATTTTACCACTGTAAAATATTTAATATTAACCAATCATAATCCATCCAACTAACAACCCACTTATTTGTAAGTGCTGAAATTACTTGTAATTTCAGCACCAGAGAGATTTGAATTTAACTAAGAAATTAGTTACCTCTCCAAGAGAACTTCAGCAGTCGCAATAAGCCAGTATACTTTAGATCTATTGAGCCTAGCAGAGACTAGTTAAACACCCTGAGACTAGTAGATATAAGAGTAAGATTAGGATCGGTATTAGACTAAGAAGTTGCACGAATATATCCGGCCGAAAATAAGATAGCGTGACTAGCAGACGGTGTACCCTATCCGAAATTACTCTATGAGTTAACCTCAACAACATAACTCACGATCGAATTGATTTTCCGCGACCCAAACTCCATACCCCCACCCGAAATTTGAGTTGGGCAAAGTCGCATTATTGGTTTCCCAAAATCGCAAAATAGCTGCATAAAATGGGTCGCGCAAACTGGCAACATGAGTCGGGCAAAATCCCAGCATGTGTCGCGCAAAAAAATTCGAGCAGTTTAGTAATAGAATTTTTCACTCGTAAAAGCGTAATGCAGGTAAAAGTTGTAAAAAAAATCCAGTTTATAGGTAGTGTTAAGGTTCAGTAAGCTAGATCAAAATATTTGCTGATCATATACAGGACCGCCACAAAAAGGCCTACACATGGTCCCAAAGTAATAAAAACAGGCATTTTTTGGGGCAGTTTAAGTCACTCAAAAACATGTTTGTCACACAAAATTGCAAAACTATTTTTGTTAACAAGCACAAATTGCAATACACGTTTTTTGGGTCAAGCAAAATCGCAGAAACAATTCTGTAGCGCAAAGTCGTAGCTAAAAACATTTCGGTCTCGTAAAAATGCAACTTGCCTATTTTGAGTCGCGATGGTCGCAAAATACTATTTTTGGTTCGCGCTAAAACGCAAATTATCTTTTTCGGATCGCAATGGTCGCAAAATTAGTCCCAGAACTCTGTCAGAGCTCTAATCCAACCGAAAGACCATGTGCTAACAAAAGTATGACTCGATTTTGAAAAAAAGAAGGTTCGCTTGAAAAACTTTTATAGAACCACAAAAAACACGTCTGTAAATGAATACGGACCATTAACCACGTTGTTGGCTTTGATGTTGGTGCCTTCTGACATCCCGGAAACCACAATTGTGAACTCTACAATTTCATCAGTGTCCCCAAAAGGGAGATTCTCGAAGTTCACTCGAATCATGTAAGAAGAGGCTTCGAACGAACTGCTGATGAAGTCCACTGGCAAGGCTGCTGTTGCAAAATAAAAACTCCTTGATGAGATTTTTGAAAGAAAATTAAATAACTCTTAAAATCTTAAGCTGTGAAGTAATTCTTGCTATGTTCGACAATCCACAACACGCTTAAGGCTTCTAATTCGATCGCTGATTTTTTGCGTTTGTGGGTCTTCAGAAAACAGTTTGCGAAAGAAACTTTTTTCCAGCCACTCTCGAGGAGATGGTCAAGTATCGCATTCCATCCAATTTCAAGGCGCGTCCTTTTTACCTCTGGTTTTAAATTAAGCGTCAATTTTTGTACGTTGATAATTTCAACTGTTTTTGTGGTTACTTTCTTAAACGTCGACCTAGGAGTTTCCATTCATCGGAATATTGAATTTTTTCAATAGCGTTTCTTCGTTTCTTGAAAATCTGAAAGGGTTCCCCAAAGATGCTAGATGTAGCAATAGTATTATGACTGTTTTTTCGAGCCAACGATTGATCTGAGTTTCTAGAGATTGGCAAAAAATTGATGAGACCACCAGCTGATTTAGGGGGGGGGGGGGGGGGTCGGTGGGAGCGCCAAAAAAACTAGGTATAAATCTTTACATAGGGATCATTAGCTATAAAAATTATACATAGGGATCTTTAGGTATATATTTTTTTACATAGGGATCATTAGGTATGAAAATTTTACATAGGGATCATTAGGTATAAATTTTTACATAGGGATCCTTAGGTATAAATATTTTAGATAGGGATCATTAGGTATCAAATTTAACATAGGGATCATTAGCTATAAAAAATTATACATAGGGATCATTGGTTTTACTTAGGGAAAAAATGTGTATATAGGGATCATCAGTTATACGTAGGTTGAAAAAAAATTGAAAAAAATATGAAAGAAAATTTTGAAAAAAAACTTTTTATTTTGAAAACTTTGTGTGAAAAATTTTTCTGTAAATTTTTTTTTTATATAGGGATCATTAGCTATGAAATTTATACTTAGGGATCATAAGGTGTAAATATTTTACATAGGGATCATTAGGTATAAATATTTACATAGGGATTATTAGGTATAATCTATACCCAATGATCCCTGTAGGGATCACCCCCCCCCCCCTCGATCCCAGTGTCGTATATCTATACTACTGAGAGCCAATTTAAACTTTTCTTGACACGTAAAATACAATTTTGTAATCGATTAAAAAACATAGTTTGTCTTCTAAGTACTTCGTTCTTCAAACTGCGAAGTTTAATTACACTCAAACTAACAAGATTACTAATAATGAAAATGGCAACCAGTGGGTACCCGCATCAAATTTTCGTTAATATGAATCAATTACTGCTTTCTTTAGTCTCAATATGCAAGAAAAAACAATAAGAAATTGATTTCAATCCGTTTTCAATGGGATGCAATGTCGTTTTTAAACCACAATTTGATACATTAAAGTCGATACCCGCATCCAAGTTTAGGCGTAAGTAATCGAATAAAACGGATTATTTTGATGACAATTATAATTGATTTTATTTACCAAAATTAGGTGTTTAAAGGATTTAGAATTGATTATAATCGTGATATTTTCCAAGAGATTATAATCTCTCATAATCGACTATAATTGATTATAGTTCTTATAAAAAACCCTTAAAATCAATTATAATCGATTATAATCAATTATAATCTCTTATTTTGCCAAAATTTTGTAAATTCAAAACAATATTTGAATGATATCTTATGGGTTATTAATTTTGTGTCAATAAGAAAATCTCTAGAAAAGAGATCTCTTGAACAATTTGGCTCATCTGAACACAAAGTTCTTTCACGAAACAAAAGTTTCATAGATGTCCTTTCATATTAGTGGAAAGGTTCCCATGGTAGATTAAAAACAAATCTTCCGAATCAATCATGAAACTAAATAAATTTGCTAATGTTTTGGTGGTTAAAAAAGCTTAAAATATGCATCAAAAAATAATTCTAATGGGGAAGAAATGAAAAAAAAAATCCTTGAATATTTGAATTGACTGCAAAACTTTTTAAAAATATTCTCACTTTTCGTAGGAACCAACGTCTACAAAACGCTTAAAATATAAGCAATTTAGATACAACTTCGAAGACAAAATGGACAAACAAAAGATTAAATGGATTTTTGTGTAAAACTAATGAATTAGAAATTTGAATAAAAATAATGGAATATAATCAATTATAATTGGTGATAATTGTATCAGAAAATAGGCGAATAAATAATCGATTATAATTGATTATAATGGATTACAATTAATTATAATTTGATTTTAAAAAGAGAGATTATAATCGATTATTAATTGATTAAAATTGATTGTTGCTCAATTTTAGTAAGACTGGTACTAAAATCGTAATATAATCGATTATTAACGCTTGAAACTGGTTGCGGGTAATAATAGATGCTTCATCTCTTTTTGATCGCTATTTATCAATTGTTTCTGGATAACTTCGTAAAAAAGTGTTTACTTTTTCATTCAAGGAATTTCGTTGTCTTTTTTCATGATCAAAATATGAGCGTTGCGGGGAGGGGGATAATTGTAAGGCTTGGGTGTAAATGGGGATTTAATTTTAGTATCAAAAAATTATAGCCTTATTAAATTAGATTTTGTGCATTGACTTTCTGTGAGTCGTGGATGTTATCCCTAATCATTTTTTTTGTGTTTTTATTGCTTCGATTTGTTAAAAAAAATTGAAAACTCATCGTAAAATTTCGGCAAAAAATAGGTTATTGTCAACTATAACGGTTTAAAATTTAATAATATGGACGTTTGTTTTTCAAAAAATGATATTAACGGTACTATAATCATTTTCATGAACTAAAATTTTTTACATCCGTAATCGATTAGAAATTTTTGGCTCGGAAAACTATTGCAAAGGATTATTACTCAATGCGGGCAAACTAAACTAAACTCAACAACTATGGAGAGAATTATGTTGTTTCCAATCTTCGATTTAAATCAATGTCAAACCATGTGATTAGTCACTAATTTTTAACACAAAGGCTCACTGATATATTTGTTCAATCGGAATTTTATATCGTTTCCAATCTTCGATTTATATCAATGTCAAACCATGTGATTGGTCACTAATTTTTAACACAAAGGCTCACTGATATATTAGTTCAATCGGAAATTTATATCTCTGAAGTTTCGTGATACGGCGCCAAACGTGTCAACAGAAAAATAAACAGCTGGTTGAACAAAAATTGAGATAGTAAAACAAACACAAACTCTATTGAAATCTTTTTTGTCTTATTAGCTATAAAGACTATAGGTCATCTCCAGTGGCGTGCGCAGAAATTTTTCTAGGGGGGGGCGGTTTTTCGAAAAATTTCAAAAATTTTGCGGACCTATTTTTTTAGGTCGGTCAATGTGATTTTCCAATTCCAAGCTCTCCGAAATACCATAAGGACCTTATTTTTTCAAAAATTCTCCGCGCCGCTTTCTGGGGAACCTTTGGAAAAATTTGGCAACCAGAATTAAAGGGGCGAACCGGTCATCCCCCCCCCCCCCTCCCTCCCCCTCGGCACACTGCTGGTCATCTCAATAATTTATAAGTTTTTCTGTGAAAGATAAGATTGCTAACCTGCACTTGGAACAATGCTTCTTCTGGTAAGTTCGGTATGAAAACCACAGTGAATGCAGTCAGACTTTTGTTCCAAATCTCTGGTTCCAAACTTTTCTCTATAAAAATGGAAGCATGTAACTTTAAACTTTAAATTTTTAATGGATGGAATTTGAAAGGCTTTATTAGTTCTCTCAATTGTTTAAATAAATCTACCTGAAGAAGTAGCTAGACCGCCAATTGTTGAACTAAAAATAATACGGCCATTTGCAGTGACCCCCGCCACCCACAAAGAGTACTCAGTCATGGACATGAGGGGTCCATTACACACTTGATGAACAGACACATCGGGGTCGCACAAATCCACGCCTATGTCCACGAACCAGGAATGGTCTGTTGGGTTGATGTTGAATGGCATTGGGTAAATTTGTAGGGACAAGGCATGATAGTGGGACTCATTTGTTATGTAGTTGGACCAGTACATGACTAAAAATTCTAATATTTTTGCAGCGATAGCACCAGTTTTTTTTTTTAGAAAATTGGAATAGGAAACTTTCGAAAAAATAAAGAACCACCTCCGTCGTATAGTCGTATAGTATCGAATTACCCAACTTTTGAGAAACTTCTCAATGTAAGTTAAAAATCTCCAATACTTTTTTCCAATGACTTTCAAAAAAGTTTTCGTTTTTTTCTACCATCTTCTTGCTTATGTCATATAAGCTGCAGTTGAGGAAATCAGAATGATCAATGGCTGTATTAATGAATAAAAAACTTATGAGAATCAATTAATCAGTTTAAGAAAGTTGAATGAGTTCTTTTTCGAATCAATTCTAGCAAAAAAAATCTCTAAAAAATCATTCTACTCTGTTCCAATCTACCCTACACACTTCTGTCTTATGGCCTTCTACCTTACGTTTCATTTTATATTATGGCAATCTAATTTAATCTTCCATCTTTTTGATCTCCCGGGCCAAAATCTGCAATTTATGTTGCGATCGAATTGATTTTCCGCGACCCAAACTCCATACCCCCACCCGAAATTTGAGTTGCGCAAAGTCGCATTATTGGTTTCCCAAAATCGCAACGTAGCTGCATAAAATGGTCGCGCAAACTCGCAACATGAGTCGGGCAAAATCCAAACATGTGTCGCGCAAAAAAATTCGAGCAGTTTAGTAAACGATTTTTTGTCGGTTTTTTCACTCGTAAAAGCGTAATACAGGTAAAAGATGCAAAAAAAATCCAGTTTATAGGTAGTGTTAAGGTTCAGTAAGCTAGATCAAAATATTTGCTGATCATATACAGGACCGCCACAAAAATACCTACACATGGTCCCAAAGTAATAAAAACAGGCATTTTTTGGGGCAGTTTAAGTCGCTCAGAATCATGCTTGTCGCACAAAATTGCAAAACTATTTTTGTTAACAAGCACAAATTGCAATACATGTTTTTTGGGTCAAGCAAAGTCGCAGAAACAATTCTGTAGCGCAAAGTCGTAGCATGTCTTTTTTGAGTTGCGCAAAGTCGCAACATATCTTTTTTGGGCCGCGCAAATTGACTAAAAACATTTCGGTCTCGTAAAAATGCAACTTGCCTATTTTGTGTCGCGATGATCGCAACTTACTATTTTTGGTTCGCGCTAAAACGCAAATTATCTTTTTCGGATCGCAATGGTCGCAAGGTTAGTCCCAGAACTCTGTCAGAGCAGCTACAATCCAACCGAAAGACCATGTGCTAACAAAAGTATGACTCGATTTTGAAAAAAAGAAGGTTAGCTTGAAAAACTTTTATCGAACCACAAAAAACACGTCTGTAAATAAATACGGACCATTGACCACGTTGTTGGCTTTGATGTTGGTGCCTTCTGACATCTCGGCAACCACAATTGTGAACTCTACAATTTCATCAGTGTTCCCAAAAGGGAGATTCTCGAAGTTCACTCGAATCATGTAAGAAGAGGCTTCAAACGAACTGCTGATGAAGTCCACTGGCAAGGCTGCTGTTACAAAATAAAAACTCCTTGAGGAGATTTTTGAAAGAACATTAAAATACTCTTAAAATCTTAAGCTGTGAAGTAATTCTTGCTATGTTCGACAATCCACAACACGCTTAAGGCTTCTAATTCGATCGCTGATTTTTTGCATTTGTGGGTCTTCAGAAAACAGTTTGCGAAAGAAACTTTTTTCCAGCCACTCTCGTGGAGATGGTCAAGTGGCGCAATCCATCCAATTTTAAGGCGCGTCCGTTTTACCTCTGGTTTTCAATTTAGCGTCAATTTTTGTACGTTGATAATTTCAACTGTTTTTGTGGTTACTTTCTTAAACGTCGACCTACGAGTTTTCATTCATCGGAATATTGAATTTTTTCAATAGCGTTTCTTCGTTTCTTGAAAATCTGAAAGGATTCCCCAAAGATGCTAGATGTAGCAATAGTATTATGACTGTTTTTTCGAGCCAACGATTGATCTGAGTTTCTAGAGATTGGCAAAAAATTGATGAGACCACCAGCAGATTTAGGGGGGGGGGGTGGGGGTAGGGGTAGGTGGGAGCGTTGAAAAAAGGCGTTTTTTCTAGATCCGCCCCTGGGTAAAGACTGTTAATATTATGTCTTCGTTTTTTGAGAGCTTTTTTGGAAGCTATAAAAATTTCCATCTATTAAAAGACTCAACTATTTCGTCAAAAAAGGCCAGTTTTTGATGACAGAATAACTAATAAATTTATAGGTTTCATGAGTAACCTGTTGTAAAATTCCGAACGAAGCATTGATTGTTATCTAGCTTGAGTTTTTTCTCAACAATTCTGATTTTTGTTTTAAAGTTTAGATAGGCTTTTGCAAAAATTAATTCAACTTTTGAGTAGACATGTTAGAGGTCGAAAAAGATCAAAAAAATGTGAGAAAAAATTTTCGAAACTGAAGTTTTATCAAATGAGAACAAAAAATCTCTCATTATTTTCTTATTATGGAACCAATTAACAAAAAACAATGGAATCATTTCAGTTAATACAAACTATAAAACAAACTCTGGTACTAATCAGATAACGCGTCGCCAGTAATGTATTGAACCACAGTATTGATATTTTTAAAGAAAAAAAACACAGAAAAACTTGTTTAATTACCATGATCCAAACACTGATATTTTACCAATTCCATTTTCCATCTGAATACAAAAAATCCTCTGTACATTATTTAAATATACAGCCTGAAGATTGCTATGTTCATAATCTATCCTAAATCAAAAGGGTTTGCTCAGCTGATTGCGTCTGACATAAACTTCATTGTACACATCTCCTAATCCGTAAAATCAGATTAGAAACTTATAGTTTCCGGTAATATTTCCGAATAATAGACTAAAAAAGTTGTATGCACTTTTATAATCAGACTTTGTAAACCAATAATCTTCTGGCCATACATTGATCACGGTGAAAAGTTTTTTTCCCAATATCCGTTTTTTATCGATTGATCATGCGTATTTACAGGACTTCTTTGAAATAATGCTGTCGTGAAAAAAATTATAAAATGTCAGCATGTCCTTAAAAATGCAGGCTGGAAAATTCAGAATTTGTCTTTTGTTGCACAAACTTCTAAAAGTCCCATGGAAATTTTTTTCCACATTTATTATTAGAAACTTTTTTTTCGATTTTTTTATTTGGTTCTATTGTTAATGTTAAAACTTCTTTTACACGTCCTGTCTTGTCTTATGAGTGATGTGATTCCACTTATGTCTGTAGTCTACTTAGTTTGATCTTTAGTCTAATTGATTTAACACGTCATTTATGTTTGCTCGGAGAGAATGCGGAGAGAATGCTCTGTCACTTTTTAATGTTTACACTTTAAAATAAATTCACTTTTATCCTTTTATTTTTTTAATTGTAAATAAGTAGAGTTAGCTCTAACAAAGTAACACTTTATCATGGCGCTGTCAAACAACAAAACTAACAGGAGAGTAATACCTTCATATTGGCAGAACCATACGATGGACCCACCACTCCCTTGGGAAGAGTGGAGACGTCTTTTTCAATTAGCTATATTTGAGAACGAAGTTGTAGATATCGAAAATCTACTGAACCCGATGGAAAGACACCATCCACATCTACCTGAACTTGAGAATCCGACGGAGACCGAATCGGAAAACCAGAAAAAAGCACAACCAGAGAGGAATATGGAAGAGCAGAAAAAATTCGACGACGAAGAGGTGGCATCGATCAAAACAGAAACTGAACAATTCAACGGAATGAGAATCGGCAAAGTCGTCAAGAAACGTCGCTTAATCCTCTATCTAGCCTTCGGAAACGAAGTAAAAATGATAATTGGACAGAAATTTACATGGGTAAACATCCTCCAAATTTCCTTCTAAGAATTTTAGGAAAACTTAGCAACGGCCTTCGCGTGAAAAACAAATGTCACATTTCAAAGGCACGAATTGTTAAAAAGAAAGCAAAGCAAAAAAGAGTCATGGGAGCAATTGAAGGAAGTTTTAGCTGATATGGCGAAAAAACGTGACATATTTGCCGGAGAAGACAAATAGATAGGGCAAATCATTATAAACAATATGGAAAATTCAGACATACAGAGAAAGCGACTGACGGAAACCTTACCACCGTTGCGCTAATAGATAAAAAAGGATAACCAATCATATAAAGATAAATAAAATTTTTAAAATCCATAGGATTATCAGTACACAAATCGTAAAATCATTTTAACGTGAAACGAGAACCAACTTTGAATTATGAACGAAACAACACCGGTATGAAAAGTAGCGGTACATTCTGTAAAGTACATCCAGCAAATTTCACGACGAATGACACAAACTGTCCATCCTATAAAAACAAAGACCATTTCATCAAACTATGTAAACCTGCCGTAAGAAAGTAAACATTGGAAATAACTAAACTGTAGATAATACAGATCTCAAAAATCTTTCGGATCAACCGGGTGTAAATATAGACCGTGTAAACAGAGAATAATTTAGAGTGAGCAACGCATGGTTTGGGACAGAACGACAACGATGATTGTTCTGTATTAATTATAACTACGATTTTTGACGACGAAGCAAAAAACTCAACTAAACTGATGAATATCGGCTTCGGCAAAAAAATTAGTAATTTTGAAAAGACAAGTTGACTCCGCTAGTCAGGTTTGTTTTCTCAGGAGAAATGTTCTCCACGAATTTAAATTACCTGATCCTTAATTGAAGATTTATCCGGTGGATAAAGCAACAAAAAACTATACTGCGGGTTCACAGACAACGCTATCAACATCACTGGGAAGCTGAGAGTCCCAGTTTTCTCAAATGGATGGAAACACGAAGAATGTAATTTCTTCCTGACAGAAAGTCACCAGAGGAATATCCTTGGAAATTACAAGTAGCCTAAAATGGGGATCGAGTTACCACAGAAGCACTTACTTCATTTTCAGACCAAAAAGATCTGTAAATCAATAAATTTTATTTCTACCGCCGAAAAGACAAGGAAATCGAACACATTTCCAAGACTTTTACACGGATTGGAAAACAACACATAAAAATCCCTCACTTGGACGAACCGTATTCAACTGAAGCCTATTCAAATAAGAGGTGGACGCGTTTCCCTTCATCAACACGATTAAACTGGCTCAAATCGGAAAAACACTTTAAAAAGCTGAAAAATTGTGAGGAAGATCAATCCATTAGCCCAATTGTCATTACTTTTGAAAAAGACAAATCAATCAACTTAACTTGTAGACAAAGTAGAGGCAATTTTTTAAAATGATTTCGTTGGAGATGTATAGTTCACTAACTCAGATTTAAGAAAAGCCTGGAGTCAACTGTCCTTGGATATTCTTACTAGCAACCAGTGTAATTTTAGTATATTAGGTGGCAATAATACCGGCAATTATCAGTTTTTAGCTAGTTTTTATGGACTTGGCGATATGCCTAACGAATTTCAAAGAGTCATGGACTCAACGTTAGGAAAAAATTTGTTTCCAAACTATTATTTAGGCAACATTTTAGTTGCATCCAAAGGAAGCTTCTTAGAACACAGAAACACAGTTTACAAAATCTTATGGATTTCAGACAATTTTAGTTTTGCCGTTCATTGGTCAAATGGTCCGCTGATTGATAAAAAAAACATTTAAGATTTACCAATGAACGAAAGAACTAGAAGTTAAACATGAAAGAACTAAGATCGTTGTTCAGGTCTACAAATCAATACCTTAAGCTCGTCCCAAATTTAGCATCTTTGAGACGCCTTCTTCGTCCTTTGTTATTTAAGAAGTCCAGTTTACATTGGAATAAAGACCATACAAAAACTTTTGAGAGAATTAAAAAAAAATGGTTAGTTTGACAGTGAATAGCCCTTTTGATGTAAAATAACGTAGGGGCAAATTTTTTAAATGATTCCGTTGGAGATGTATGGTTCACTAAATCAGATTTAAGAAACGGCTATAGTCAACTGTCCTTGGAAAGTTTACTAGCAACCAGTGTAATTGAAGTATATTAGGTGGCAATATTACCGGCACTTATCAATTTTTAGCTGATTTTTACGGACTTGGCGATATGCCTAACGAATTTCAAAGAGTCATGGACTCAATGTTAGGTAGGTTTCCGCTTACAAACTATTACTTAGACGGCATTATATTTGCATCCAAAGGAAGCTTCTTAGAACAGAAAAACACAGTTTACAAAGTTTTATGGATTTCAGACAATTAAAGTTCGCCGTTAAATGGTCAAATGGTCCGTTGATTGATAAAACAAAAGCATTCAAGATTTACCAAGGAAAGAAAGAACTAGAAGTTAAACATGAAAGAACTAAGATCGTTGTTCAGGTCTACAAATCAATACCTTAAGCTCGTCCCAATTTTAGCATCTCTGAGACGCCTTCCTCGTCCTTTGTTATTTAAGAAGTCCAGTTTACATTGGAATAAAGACCATACAAAAACTTTTGAGAGAATTAAAAAAAAAATGGTTAGTTTGACAGTGAATAGCCCTTTTGATGTAAAATAACGTAGGGGCAAATTTTTTAAATGATTCCGTTGGAGATGTATGGTTCACTAAATCAGATTTAAGAAACGGCTATAGTCAACTGTCCTTGGAAAAGTTTACTAGCAACCAGTGTAATTGTAGTATATTAGGTGGCAATATTACCGGCACTTATCAATTTTTAGCTGATTTTTACGGACTTGGCGATATGCATAACGAATTTCAAAGAGTCATGGACTCAATGTTACGTAGGTTTCCGCTTACAAACTATTACTTAGACGGCATTTTATTTGCATCCAAAGGAAGCTTCTTAGAACAGAAAAACACAGTTTACAAAGTTTTATGGATTTCAGACAACTAAAATTCGCCGTTAAATGGTCAACTGGTCCGTTGATTGATAAAACAAAAGCATTCAAGATTTACCAAGGAAAGAAAGAACTAGAAGATAAACATGAAAGAACTAAGATTGCTGTTCGGGTCTACAAATCAAAATCTTTAGCTCGTCCCAAATTTAGCATTCCTGAGACACCCTCTTCGTTCTTTGTTATTTAAGAAAACCAGTTTCATTTGGAATGAAGACCATACAAAAGCTTTTGAGAGAATTAAACAAAAGTTTGTTAGTTTGACAGAGAGTAGCACTTATGAAGTAAAATAAAATATCAGAATGAAAACCGACGCACAACGGACTGGGGACATATTCAGAACAACTCCCCGGCAACGATTGGAAGACTGTTTCTTTTGCCTCACGATTTTTTAAAAATCCACACGAATCTGAATATTCCACCAAGGAATTGTAACTTGTAGGGGTTGTTTGGGCGGTGGAACATTATAAAATTACCTTTATGGATCCGATTTCGAAGTCAATACAGACCATAAAGCCCTATTTTCCGCTCTTTCGACAAACCACGGGAATAAACGTACCACAGTAGGTTAACTAGATGGGTCAATCGGTTGTTACTATTTAACTTCAAAATTATACACCTGGCAGGAAAGGATAAGAGATCAACTTACCTAATCTCAAGAAATCTATCTGAAAGTGTTCTGACCCAACACATTATGATGAAGAATTTGTAGTGGCTAACAATAATGAAAAGGGCAACTTTTCCTTCGGATAATCAAAAACAGTTCTGCAATTCAAATGGTTCATCATTAAAAAATTCCGATTACGCAAGATTACATAGTTACTTACTAGATTTAGTTCTAAATCTGATTAACTCGACTCTTCCAATTTATAACTTGAAAATTAATTGAAATAAACTTTGTACCTCAAAACGCATTGCCTCGGAGTTTTTTTATTATTATTCTTTAAAAATTTTTTTTTTCAAATTCTGCAATCTTTCAATATTTATTTCTTCAGCGTAGCATAAATCATTTTCCTTTAGAACAGAAAACTGTAAGCAATGTAAATAAAGAAAACAAAAATATCGTAAATATTCCTTCCACTTCCGTTATTCAAGTTCATTTCGGGTTCCCACTTTCAACAGAGCAGGAAAAATTTGTAAATAAAAACCGTGAAAACTTCAATTTGTTGAAACTTCCTTTGGATTTAAATACTTTTTAAATGCCAAAAAGGTTGTTCTTCCAAATGAAGATGATCCAATGTTGAGAACATCGTTAAAGCACGTCAAAACAAAGTCGAGATGATTAATTCAAAATCTCTATCTTTTTTTATCATTTTGTGTATGACCTCCATGAATCCGACGGATTACAATATATGGATAGCAAACTTAAGATTCCCTTTACTCATAGAAATGCCATGATGAAGACCTTACACAAAGAGCAACGTGGCCAAATTGCAATGAAATACATAGTCAATATATCTGGTGGCCCCATTTAAATAGACAAAATTACTTCCATGTATTGGTATATCACATTTCTTAACCATTTCTGCGAATTCGCACTAAAATAGCTGTAAACTCGCTCTATCGCCTTGTTGTGGGTTCCAAAATTTATGGCGTTCAAAATTGATTTTGGGCTTTATGTTAATTTTGAAGCCATTTAAGGCCAAATTTCATTTTAAAAACACAAAAACAGATATTTCTCGTCTTGCTTGATTTCTGTTGGATCAATTTTCTCTTGATTTCTGTGGGGATCAATTTTACATCGTCACCAACGGTTATATAAAAAATTGATCTGTCAAAACGTCTGATCTTGTAAAAATCTCTTGTTGAATCATTAAATTGATGCTTATGTGAGGTGTGAGGTGGGAAGGTAAAAACAGCGTGGGTTTATTTTCTCGTTGTGAGTCGTTTTGGTCGCTATGGTTTTTTGGAGAGCTTCATTACGAGGCCAAACTGGGTAGATTGCGAATTGTAGGCGGATTCCACAACAAAGAGGTCCCTTTGTTCTTCTTTTGTTCTTTCATTTTGTTTGATCGTTCCGACAAAATTTAAACATGTTTATAGATTTGTCTCTGAAATCCAGGAACACACAGACACAAAAATGTGCGCCTATCTAGTGCAGAGTTCTTTGGTCTCGTAATGCCTGAAAGGCATATTGATTGACCAAAAAAAGTGTCGGCAAACTTTTCGAAAATATTTAAAACCACCCTCCCGCCCCCTCAAAGGTTTTACATACAGCTTTCTGTTATTTTGTAATTTTTTTTGTAAAATTCAGCTTGGGTCTTTTGCGTTTAATTCAGACAAAAGAGGCAGTGAATTTTCTTAGCTAATTTTTTAAAATCCTCCGGATCAAAATCTTCGGCTCACTTATTGCAAAATCCGTGACATGATTGCCTTTTAATTGCTTCCAACTATCATATTATACATTCTTTGGTATTTTAGTACTTTAACCATTTTGATATAATGTAGAATTCAATTAACAGTTTAGCTAAAATTTTATCCGTCGGATTTTAGTTTGTTGAAATTAATGCGGAGTTGATATGTTTAACGGCACAATTATTTTGTCTGGTAAATTTTCCTATCAATTTTGGTGAAGAAGAAAACTGCGCTTAATTTTTTTCTTTCCTTTCTTTTGAAGAGAGAAAAGAAGCAGTTACTTACAATTACCTCGATTTGATTTTTTCCTGCTTTGAGGAATTATATGATTCCATTCACTTATTTAGTCTGCTTAGTTCAATCTTTAGTCTAATTGATTAACAGGTCATTCATTTTTGAACTTACTACTTTCATTCTCTCCGTAGGAGAGAGTGCTGTGTCACTTTTTTGTGTTTCAATTTGCAGATTAATTCCTTTTTACCCTTTGGTTCTTTTAATTGTATATATATAGAGCTAGCAAATTTAGCTAAAAAAGTAAAATTTTGTCATTGACAATTGATATGGTTTAAATGATTGAAAATTCTTTTTACATGGAGCAACCCTACTTCATTGTTTTTGTATTGGTATATCACATTTCTTAACCATTTCTGCGAATTCCCCCTAAAATAGCTGTAAACTCGCTCTATCGCCTTGTTGTGGGTTCCAAAATTTATGGCGTTCAAAATTGATTTTGGGCTTTATGTTAATTTTGAAGCCATTAAAGGCGAAATTTCATTTTAAAAACACAGATATTTCTCGTCTTGCTTGATTTCTGTTGGATCAATTTTCTCTTGATTTCTGTGGGGATCAATTTTCCATCGTTACCAACGGTTATATAAAAAATTGATCTGTTAAAACGTCTGATCTTGTAGGAATCCTTTGTTGAATCATAAAATTGATGCTTATATGATGTGTGAGGTGGGAAGGTAAAAACAGCGTGGGTTTGTTTTCTCGTTGTGAGTCGTTTTTGATCGCTATGGTTTCTTGGACAGCTCCATTATGAGGCCAAACTGGGTATATTGCGAATTGTAGGCGGATTTCACAACAAGGAGGCTCCGTTTGTTCTTCTTTTGTTCTTTCATTTTGTTTGATCGCTCCGACAAAATTTAAGCATGTTTATAGATTTGTCTCTGAAATCCAGGAACACACAGACACAAAAATGTGCGCCTATCTAGTGCACAGTTTGGCCTCGTAATGCCTGAAAGGCATGTTGGTCGACCAAAAAAGGTGTCGACAAACTTTTCGAAAACGTTTAAAACCACCCTCCCTCCCCCCTCAAAAGTTTCACATACAGCTTTCTGTTATTTTGTATTTTTTTTTAAATTCAGTTTTGTTCTTTTGTGTTTAATTCAGAAAAAAAAATACGCAAGAATGATATAAATTATTATGATGATTTCAATAAATTTTTTTGAGCATGATTTGAATTATTTCTTTTCTCATGGTCAGATCCTATGAGTATGATTGTTTTTTGTTGTTGATACGATGCCTATTATGATTATTATATTGATTTTTACTATCAATATCACTATTTCTGTCTAAAAAGGGCGATTTGAACAAAACATGAAAAATATTATCACAATTTTTATTTGAGATTGTATAGCCCGTATAACTCACAAGTAGACACCGCTCCAATGAATGTCCTCCTGAATGGGCTAGGCGTGGAGACTACAAACACGTTGGCTGTATACTCCGTATCTGGTTCAAGGTCATTGAAGGTCACCGCACACCTGGTGAGATCATCTGAGCAGTCGGCAGCATTTACTGAGATGTTCATCAGCGGTTCGCCAGTTGAAGCTTTTTTCAGCTAAAAAAACATTATTGACAACTAGTTTTTTATCCAGGAAATTTTTGAAAATTACATAATTGTTTTCAAAAACACCAACAGCTTATGACAAACACGGAGACATGCAAAAGTTTTCAAATGTGGCTTTCAAAAAGATGTTTTTTCCATTTTTTTTTCAAAACTTTGAATGTTTTCGACTGATTTTTCGAGTTCTTTGAAAGGATCATAAAAAACAAGGAGGCCTCTGTATTTTGAACCCCTTGGAGTCCTACTTTAAAATTCACTGAAAAAAAGATCGCCCAAAAATTTCCCAATTTTTTATTTCGGCCTTCTAAAGACAAGAATAGAATTTAAAATAGTTTATTTTAAAGGTGATTTTATTTAAGATAATTTACCCACAGAGGAAAGATCAACATACGAGCTGTTATACACTTCAGGGTGAAACTGTGACGCCCCTTGCCAAAAAATTAAATGGAGTTTTTTGTTGTTTTTCTGGGCTGGACAAGGATGACTCATACTCAAGCAACGAGCAAGAACCATGACCATCAATTGCTCCATTCAGAAGTGGAGACATAACCCGTTCACCTTCGCTCCCTAATTTATGCAATGCTGTCTTCAGAGCTCGCAAAAACAAATATTAAGTGTACTTTTCAATTTTTTTTTACTGAACAGAGTATTAAAAATTGTACAGGATTTTTTCCGCGCTCTTCGTCAAAATTGAATCAAAACAATGTTCCGACAATTCCAACAAAAATTAAACAAAATTTTCAACGAAAAAATTTCTTGTTCTTTTCAATATACTTACAGAATTAACTGTAGCCGGTCGGAAGATCATGAGCTTGTTGTACATCAACCGGTTTCTTTTGATGGGTACCTGACGTGTCCGATAAAAAAACTCTTAGTTTAAAAGTTTCCTCAATTCATTTTTAATGTCCTGGCAATTTAGCTAATCATTTCTTACATCGATTAATCTTACGAGACATACTCAAAGTTTACTTTAGAAAATTGTAATGTTAATTTTGTTGTTTTGTTGTTAAATTTTGAAAAGCTAATTAAAATCTTTGCTTTGTGTAGATACCAGCAAGGCATTAAATACTACTTGAAATTAGTATATCTATGTTTAAAAAGAGCTACCTTTTTGAGGTCTTTTTGTTCAGGCTTTCGAAGGTAGTGAGGATTCTTTATGCTTGGGATGTTTTTTTTAAAGTTATTTTTCGACTTTTTGACTGAGCGTTTTTGACGGAAATGTTTTACAGCACCTGAAAGATAATTTTGATTTGAGCTCAACTTTAAAATTTAAAAAGACATTTTAGTTAAGAAGGTTCATTGTGAAGTTATGGTGGTTTGAAAACTGCTAATTTTACGTCAATTTGAGAATAGCGTTCTTATTACACGCGTAAACGGCAAATTAATGCTTTCCAGATTGAATTGAGAAGAGGAATTTAGTCTTATCGAAACAATATGAGACGCTAAACTAAACTTACGTATTATACATAGCGAGTCGAGAATGAAATGAACAACAAAATGATTTTTTTCCCCAAATATTTCGACCTTTATTCATAGAAAAACTTTTTAATTGGCCTTAAAGTGCAGTCAGAACATTCAAGTCCTGGCATTCAACATTTGCCCTGGCATAGGAGCACTCTTGTTTTTTTGAAAAAAGTTTTGTAGATGAACTTAATTCAAAGCCTCTGTGCTCACATTGGCAACAAATTTGGACTCGATTCCGAAAGCTGACACATCAATGTATGCTGTCATGGTTGTCAGAGTAGCTTCATAGTCCACAATCTCTGGAAGGTCTAAGCAGAAACAAAGTCATCAAGATATAATTTTGATGCCAACAAATTATGAGATGACTAGCTCTGATGCTGTTTTTTGGACAAAATTTTTTTATATGATGAACCACAAATTTTTTCTAAAGGTACCCATGGCAATAATATATATAAAATTTAAGGTAGAGCGCACACAGAAAAATAAAACGCATTTTTTGGCAACAAAACCCAAAAAAAAATCTTGAAAACTTTTTTTATTTTTTTTTCAAAAATTGTAGGCGGCACAGTATTTTTGGTCAAAATAGGGCCTTAATTGTGATTTGGCAGAGCTCGAATAATCTTTGAAAAAATCCTACCCTGGAAAAATTTAAATACCCGACTCTAGAAGACATACCTGGTACAATGATGAACTGAGAGGGCCTGGAAACTGCACTGAACATAGCATTTTGGTATTCAACTTCAGTGATTATCTGTACTCTGAACTCCAAAATGAATAGTTGACTACCAATATCAAATTCAATGGATCCCGAGGTGGCCTGAATTGAAAAAACTACTTGTACAAAATATAACTAACGTAAGCAGAGAAACTGATTTTGAGATAAACAATAGGTTTTTTATTCAGACAAACGAAAATGGAGAAAAACGTTGTATTCGGATGCGTTTCAGGTTTTTTTTTTGTTTTCCACAGGAAATCTGGTACCAAAAAAAATCAATCAACTGAGCCGAGTCATATAACTTTTTAAAGCCCTTCCAGTTTTAATTCGAACGAAAGAAACAAAATTTCAGAAGGTTATAATATAGAGAAAGAGAAATTTAAAACTTAAATTTTCAGTCTAATTTTGAGCAGATAAAGCCACCGAGCAGGCTCATAATAGAATATTTAAGCTTAGTTTTGACCATGAAAGATAAATTGTACTCAATTAAAGTTGGTGTTTGAAATTTTCAAGCGCGCCATTTTTGGAATCAAAAACTTCTGAAAATTCAAAAAAATATATTTTGGTTTTTTGTTAGTTCAGTCATTTTCTGCAAACACTGTTGACCAATTTGCCTATTTTAATAATATTGTTTTTGCCTAAGTAATAGCTTTAAGTCAGATATTTTGATCTTAACACGCTGAAAAATGACATTAATTTAACTTTTTTTGTGTTTTCTTAAAGACTAGTGTCGGAACTTTCTGTGCTCCTTGCGCAGTAACCGGCTATATTTGTCTTTTTTCTTAGTTTTTTTTTCACAGCAGAAAAGGGAAAAACGTTAGCTCAGAGGGTGTTTGTTTGGGCACCTCAGCGCACGTTTGTAGATCATCAAAAGATGAAATAAAAAAAATATGCACGACTGCGTCATTTTAAATTTCATATTAACTTTGCTGCTTAACAATTTTAGTTGCTATTTAACTAATTAACCTCTACTTTAAATTCATTCACCTGCGTTGACCGCTGATTTTAGTTGCGTTGTAAAATATATTTTTATCGTTTTTGCCAAATACTCACTGTGCTAAAAATGCTGTGCTAAAAATGCTGTGCGTTTTAAAATAGTACCAATGAGAAAGAACTGAACATTAGGTTTCATCTCCATTTTGCTTATTTTTTTTCAGACGCTTTCCCCAGAAAAATAATTGTCTTTAAGTTAATTTTCATAAAAATCCAATGATTATAAAATTGTGCATTTCCAAAAACAACCCGCATCCAGTTTCAAGCGTTAATAATCGATTATATTACGATTTTAGTACAAGTCTCACTAAATTCGAGAAACAATTTTAATCATTTAATAATCTATTATAATCCCTTTTAAAATAAAATCAAGTTATGATTAGTTATAATCAATTATAATCGATTATCTTGATCTTGATACGCTGAAAAACGACATTAATTTATTTCTTTTCGTGTTTTCTTAAAAACTATATTTGTCTTTTTTCCTAGTTTGTTTTCCACAGCAAAAAAGGGAAAAACGTTAGCTCAGAGGGTGTTTATTTGGGCACCTCAACGCACGCTTGTAGAGCATCAAAAAATGAAATACAAAAATTGGCAAGACTGCGTCAGTTTATATTTCTTATTAATTCTGCTGCTTAATAATTTTAGTTGCAATTTAACTAATTAACCTCTAATTTAAGTTCATTCACCTGCGTCGACCGCTGATTTTAATTGCGTTGCAATGTTTATTTTTATCTTTTTTTGCCAAATACTCACTGTGCTAAAAGGCTCTGCTAAAAATGCTGTGCGTTTTGAAAATAGTAACATTGAGAAAGAACTGAACATTAGGTTTCATCTCCATTTTGCTTATTTTTTTTCAGACGCTTTCCCCAGAAAAATAATTGTCTTTAAGTTAATTTTCATAAAAATCCAATGATTATAAAATTGTGCATTTCCAAAATCAACCCGCATCCAGTTTCAAGCGTTAATAATCGATTATATTACGATTTTAGTACAAGTCTCACTAAATTTGAGAAACAATTTTAATCATTTAATAATCTATTATAGTCCCTTTTAAAATAAAATCAAATTATGATTAGTTATAATCAATTATAATCGATTTATCTTGTGTCTTTTTTCCTAGTTTGTTTTCCACAGCAAAAAAGGGAAAAACGTTAGCTCAGAGGGTGTTTGTTTGGGCACCTCAGCGCACGTTTGTAGATCATCAAAAGATGAAAAAAAAAATATGCACGACTGCGTCATTTTAAATTTCATATTAACTTTGCTGCTTAACAATTTTAGTTGCTATTTAACTAATTAACCTCTACTTTAAATTCATTCACCTGCGTTGACCGCTGATTTTAGTTGCGTTGTAAAATATATTTTTATCGTTTTTGCCAAATACTCACTGTGCTAAAAATGCTGTGCTAAAAATGCTGTGCGTTTTAAAATAGTACCAATGAGAAAGAACTGAACATTAGGTTTCATCTCCATTTTGCTTATTTTTTTTCAGACGCTTTCCCCAGAAAAATAATTGTCTTCAAGTTAATTTTCATAAAAATCCAATGATTATAAAATTGTGCATTTCCAAAATCAACCCGCATCCAGTTACAAGCGTTAACAATAGATTATTTTACGATTTTAGTACAAGTCTCACTAAAATTGAGAAACAACCAATTTTATTCAATCAATAATCGATTATAATTTCTCTTTTTTTAAAATCAAATAATAATTAATTATAATCAATTATAATCGTTATTTTTATTCCATTATTTTTATTCAAATTTCTATTTTGTTAGTTTTGCACAAAAATCCATTTAACTCAATAATAATTGATTATAATCCCTTTTGTTTGTTCATTTTTGTCTTCAAAGTTGCATCAAAATTGCTTATATTTTATGCCTTTTGTAGACGATGGTTCCTATGAAAAATGAGGAAAATATTTTTAAAGTTTTTCAATTAATTCAAATACAAAAGTTATTTTTTTCGTTTCTTCCTCATTAGAGTTGTTTTGTGATGCATATTTTAAGCTTTTTTAAACACCAAAACTTCAGCAAACTGATTTAGCTTCATGATTGTTTCGGAAGATTTATTTTTCATCTACCGCGAGAACCTTTCCACTCATATGAAATGATCTCAATGAAATTTTTGTTACGTGGTAAAATAATGTGTTCAGATGAACCAAAGTATTCAAGAGATCTCTCTTTTAGAGATTTTCTTATTGACGCAAAAATAATAACCGATAAGATATAATTCGAATAAAGGAAAACTTCGGCAGAATAAGAGATTATAATAGATTATAATCGATTAGAATTGATTTTAAGGGTTTTTAGCAAGAACTAAAATCAATTAAAATGGTTTAAAAGGGACTATAATCTTTTGGAAAATATCACCCTTAAAATCAATTATAAATCCCTTAAAGTCCTAATTTTGTCAAAAAATTAATTTTGTCGATTATAATTGTCAAAAGTCAAAAAATCATCATAATAATCCGTTATAATCGATTACTTACGCCTAAAGTTGGATGCGGGAAATGTTGTGGGCTCTAACTGTATACTTCAGTTGAAGTAATTAATTTTGTGTTATATAAACACCCAAGACATTTGTTCCTCCGGAATCAATGGGTAGGCGGAACTTTTTTTATATTTTATTCACAAATCGAGCAATAATGGGTTATTATCACAATTGTTTTCATAAATAATATATTTCTTATCCATTTAACTAGATTTAATAAACTACAGCGACACGCGAATGAGGCATTACACTTGCTCCTTTATAATAAATATTTTGAAACAAAGGTAATGACAGAAATATTTATTATAAAGGAACAAGTGTAATGCCTCCATCCTATTGGCGTGTCGCTGTAGTTTATTAAATCTAGTTATATGAATCACGCGCATCGGAGTTTCATAGATAAAAACTTTTTTTTCAAGAGATCAATCGTGATAATAACCATTTTTGCTGCAAATATAAACCATGAAATGAATTATAATGTTATTAAAATAGACTATTTGAGTAAGAGCACAATCCATTGAAACCCATTATATTGATTTTGAAAGATGATAATCTCGATGTATTTTGCAAAACATCATCTGCAGCGCTCAAGGCCTAATCGAATTTGAACCTAATAACTTTTTTTTCGGCCTGAGTCAATTTCGTTTTATCTTATGCTAGATAAGTTAGGGTGTTAAAGGGAAAATCAACTCAACTTTTGAAAAAACTGCACCGTGTTTGAACTTTTGACTAATTTAGAAAATGAGTCGTGTACAATCCAAAACAATCGATTAGAAATGGCTGAGTGGTTTGATTGAATTGACAAAAAAAAAGATAAAAATATGTTTATAATTGATTATTTGGGATTAATTTTGAGATTTATAGACGCCGCGACTCTGAAAACCAGCAAAATCTATTATTATCCCTGAAACTCCAGTGCGAGCTGATTATGCATCTGGCTAAATTGGTATAACTTTTCAACAAACATTTTATTTACAATCGGTGTATATTTCTACAGAAAGACCCATACCTTCCCAGCTATTTCGAGCACTTCGGTGGCAATGAGGTCATCGTTTTCGTTGTTGTTTACATGGACAAGGAACCGATCGAAGTTGTTGTCGGTTCTCTGCAGACTCCAGTCACCCCTCATTTTGTAGTCGTCCAGGTACGTGATAACGAACATCTCCAGCGATCGGGGCACTAAAAGAGTCAACCCTTCAAAAAAAAATTTGGAAAACTTTCGAAAAACTTTGTCATACCTCAATGTATGAACGTTTGATTCCTGAATCCGAATGGATCGACAAACAGATAAACTAACGCGGAGCGAGATAAAACGACCAATTTAAGCAAAGGTTTATTCTTGCTCTGACCGTTCATTCGGTCTGTGTTCGAGATGAGATCTCTCAAGGTCGATTGACCGACTAAATGTATGTTTATGGCATTCAACATCATAAACTTATGTAACAACATAAATCATAAATGTCAATGTATATATATCTGAGTTTTGTCTGTCCATTCCGGATGACATTCCCCCTTGACATTTAAATTATAACTGATAATTGAGTTTTAAAGTCCACATGGGACCGTTTAGTTTTAGGTTTTTGAGTTTTTCGTCCCCGTGGGACGCGCACATCATTCATTTTTCCTTTACTTCTTTCGTCATTTCGTCTTCCTGCTTCGTATGTTCTTCATCATCTGGCATTTCTGCGTCAGCATCCAGTTTCTGAGTTTTTCCCCCTTTTTATAAGTAGAATATCGTTATTGTTCTCCGCCATCTCCTCATCCGTTAACGACGTTAAATTCACCACTTCCTCTTTCTTTTTGGTCTGTTTAGGGCTTATAGCTTCAATGAATTTTAGGCACGCTTGATATTCTGGGGTTTTGTCCGAGAAACCCATTTCCTTGATTAAGGTTTTCAGGCTTGGATGATTAGACTTGTCCTGTTCGGGTGGCGAATCTATCTCGAATCGTCGACTTGCTTTGTTAGTGTTATTCGGGTCGAGTATGGTGTTGATTGGAATTGCATTCCCAAATGCATTTGACAACGCCGATTGGCGGTTCCGGGTGGATCTTCTTGAGGGTTCTTTTGCTGGTGGGGTTGTCTTTTGATTCTGCCGTTTCGGCAAAGGGGCCACATCTTCCGATGATGTGGTTGAACTATTGTCATCCTGACTTGATTGCACGTCTGCCGTTGTTGTCCTCTCCTTCTCTGTTGATGCCTCTGTTTCCAAAGTCATTCCTCTGTTCTGAGGTTGTCTTGAAGGTCGTCCTCCGGTGCGCTTTCCCGTTGCTTTCGCCTTTCATTTTGTGGGACTGATAGTTTGTTGTTTCGACTTCTTCGTCTGTTTCACCGGGAGGCCCGTCGCCTCTTCTTCTTCAAACATTGCATGTTGAGGCGCGTTTGGGTTGTTAATGTCTAAAAAACGTAGACATGGTCCATTTCTCCGTGCGGATTTATAAGCCACATAATCGCTTAGCTATGATGGTCTACAAGGTCCATAAATTAAAGGGTTTGGTACAAAAGCTGCTCCGCTTTTTTTAAATAATCTTGGTTGTTTGCCAAATGATTGTACCCAAGCGGTGTGTGGAGTGTATGTCAAGATTTTTCCGTCCACTGTCTTATATTTTTGTTCAAATGTTTTCGGAGATTTTAGTTTCGTTGCTATCCTATTTTTTTTCATGCCACCTTTTCTATTTACTTCTTAGTGTGTGGATCTATTGTTGTTTGTATCCCTTTGTATCCTACATTAAGTTGATCTTTGGCTAGTTCTATAACTTTATGACGTGCACCTGTTGTTTGCTGTATTGGAGATTTAGGAAGCTGTAGATTCTTTGGTAATTGCGTGTTCAGTTTCCTTCTTTTCTTAACTGTCACCTCGTCTTCCGACCATCTTTGGAGGTCATGTATGATCTCTGCTGGTAGTGGCGGCTTTTCTAGGTTCTTTCGATCTAAGCATGCATGTTTTGCGTTTTCTCAATTTAAGTTATTCGGTGTAGTATTTGTTGCGATGTTTGATAGCGGAGTGTTCGGTTTGCGGCCTAAGAGTGCTTCGAAAGGTGAAACTTTTGTGACGCCGTGTGGCGTGATCCGTGAAGTTTTTATTATTTCAGCTACGTCGGAAGCAAGTCGATACGATGTGTTTGTTTTATCAATTCGCATCACCGCTAGCCTGCGTTTGAGTGTTTGTACAATTCGTTCGACTACCCCTATTGCTCTGTGGTCGTCAACCGGTGCGAAAAAGAGTTTTATGTTATTCGAGTTACAAAAAGTTGGAATTTCTTTGCTCTGAATGTTTGGGTCTGATCGCATCTTAATCCCTCTTGGCACGCCGTTGTTCGAAATATATCGTTGCATGAATTTTATGGCGATATCGGCTGTTGTGTTGGAAACGACCTTTGCCGTAGGAAATTTAGACTACTTATCAATAGCGACTAAAATGTAAGCATCCCTACTTAATTCATCCGGGAGGGGACCTGCGAAATCTAGCTGAACTTCCTCGTTGGGTTCTACCACTGGTTCCATAAGGAATGAGTGTTTTTTTTCCTATAATGGGTTTTAAATTTTTACCTTGTTCTGTACAGTGTGTGCAGTTTTGCGCCATGTGTAAAATGGTTCTATGAATGTGAGGGAACCAGGCGTGTTGGCATAGATCCAACATGGCTGCCGATCCTGGATGGGTCAAATGGAGGCTGTCGAGCACTGTTTGCCGAAGTTGCGTCGGTATCACGATTCGTTCATCGATCAGGAGACAGTCTTCGCGAACGTGAAGTCGATTCCTGATATTGTACCAATAAGGCCCATATGAGTTTTTGATGGCCTCCCAATCCCATTTCTTGTGGTCGGAGGTTTCGATCTTTTTTCGTCGCCGCCGCAATGAACCGTACACCTAGCACCCGTTGGAGTTTCCTTCGAAACAATAGGGTGTCTTCTTCGCTCTCTGATGTGTTCGTGGTCTTTTCTATTGTTGCTAATAGTCCTTCCGTGATCATTTCATGGCTGGCCTCGAGTGATATATTCGTCGTCATCGTTGGGGGTATCTCGTTGTGTTTTTGCTCCTCTTGTGTAGTCATTGTTGGGTTTACGCGGCTCACCCAAATCTCATTTTCTGGTTGCTGTTCTCCAGATAGCTTTGTTTGAGTAGACCTGGAGGTTACTTCAATCTCCGTTTGGCACGAATCTGTTTAAGCGCTGGAAGATGCTCTTTCCTCTGTCTGACAGTACGACGTGTACGAATCCGTTTGGGCGCTGAAGGATACTCTTTCCTCTGTTTGGCAGGACGTTGTTTTTTACTGGTCTATCGAGTTCTTTCTCTCCGTGTGGCTGTTTCGTTTTTCTGATCGTCTGAGAAAATGATTTTGGGAAAGTTTGATTTTGGGCGTGTTTCTTCAATTTTCTTTTTCCTAATGACTTCTCTTGCGTCTTGAACATTTGCGTTCCCCTCCGTAGTAGTCTGCTTTGTTGAGTTAGTGTTTAGTTTCTTTCCTTTTGTATGTGGCCTTTTGTGCCATCTTGGGTCAGACAGGCTCTCTTCTCTATCCGACGATCCTTGCCACTGCGTAGCTGACTTTGAGTTTTCCCCTCTGTATCGGCACTTTTCATTTCTGTGGGTATAAAGCCTCCTTTAAATCCGCGAGTGTCTGATCGTTTGCTCATTTTAGAGTGAGTGATGCAATTTACCAATTTTTGAATTGTTTGTTTTGCTTTATAGAATTTTGTTGAGAGAGAACTGACTGTTCGTTGGTGATTTTTGAGTGAGACTGAATTGAAGTTCTTGTTTGCAAGTGACCGTGAGTGGAATATTTGGAATGTTCACATGCGCTATGAGTGTTTGAAGTGGCATTCAATACCTCTTTGTTTTCCGCGCGTTTTTTGATCAGCTCATACGGTGCTTTGTTCTGATTGGCCAAATTTTTTAGAATCACGTTGTCAATCAGTTCGAGATCGTTAATGAAAGCATTTATTGATGCAACTACAAATTCCTCATCATACTCACTAGGAGGTTTTGCCAATCCAACCGGATTTCGGGACATGTAGTCAATAAGTCCCATTTTATTCGCCGCCAAGTGTTTGATATCAAATTGAAAAGGAATTAATCTATCAATCCATCGTGTGAGTCGACTCTGACTTGTTTTTGATCTTTCGCTTGCGTTTAATGCACTGATTAAAGCCTGATGATTGGTAATAACTGTAAAATGTTTTCCATAAAGATAGTATTTGAAGTGTTCGATTGCCCAAACTACTCCCAATAATTCTTGTTCATTTACCGAGTATTTTTTCTCGGGGGAATTTAAAAAAAGTGATGCGTACGCTACGGCTATCCAACCCTCTGGTGAATTTTGTTCTAGTGCAGCTCCTAATCCGGTGTTCGATGCGTCGCAAACAATGCGAGTCTCTAGTTGTTGGTCAAAGTGTTTGTTCTGAGTAATTTCAGCTACTAATTTTAGCATGTTTTTGAAAGCTGTGTTGTGTTCTGATGACCAGTGAAGTGGTTTTTTCTTCTCTGTGTTTTTTAGCAATGGACGGAACGCTGCAGCTGTTTGTGCTAGATTTGGTATAAATCTTGTGAGATGATGTATTGACCCCATAAAACTTTAAATTGTTTGTATGTTTTTGGTAGTAACAGTTTTTCTATTGCTTCGGTTTTCTTAATTAGTAGGGTTGTGCCTTCACTGTTAATTTTAAATCCTAGCCACTCCATCTCTTTGCAAGCGAACTTACATCTCTCAAGTGAAATTGTTAGATTTTCTTCATCAAGTTTGTCCAACACTGCTTTCAATTTCTGTTGATGTATTTCTTTGGTTCCCTTAGTGACTACTAGTATATCATCTAGATATGCATACGTGTTCGTACAATTCGTCAATGTTAAGTCGACAGCTTTTTGAAATTCAGCTGGCATACTCGTGAGGCCGTAAAATCACGTTTGGAATTGATACGTTCCTGTTGCGTTGCCACCGACCAAACTGAAATTGCATTGTTCAAGTGTTTTTCGATCCAGCGGGATTTGAGAGTTTGTGTATATCAAATCAAGTTTAGAGAAAAGTGTTGGCTTTGTTTTGTCTGTTTTGAGTACCTGCGCAATGTTATCCAATAGTAGATCAATATTGGGCATCTGATACTTGTTTTTATGGATAAATTTATTGATTTTCTTCGAGTCCAGCGCAAGTTTAACTGTTTGAACTTTTTTCACTGTAATTACAATTGGGCTTATGAATTGTTTGTCTGAACATTTATCCAGTTTGATAATATGTTTTTGTTCAATCAGTTTATTTAATTCTCCTTCCACTCGTTCCTGAAGGTGTGTCGGAATGCGTCTACCCTTCTGTTGAACTGGTTCAAATTCTTCAATGAACTGTGTTTTCATAGTGTGATTTTTGGATTTTCCGATACGTACGCACAATTGTGCGTAATTGTCTTCGGACCATTGTTTTGTCACTGGGTCCGACTCTTCTTGTTCTTATATAGCATGTACCTTTTCTGTTTTCTGTTCTTGAATCAATTTGATGCCGATCTGTGGAAGCTTTTTTGTCATCTACTACGATGAATGGGGCGGCTCTGATTTGCCATCCCCCTGACTCGATTGTAATGATCAATCTTCCTTTCGGAACAATTGTTTCGCAATTATAGCAAGCTAATTTGCGTGCTGTGTCTCCCGATAGGATGGTTTTAAACAGTGCAGATTTATCCTTTTGTTGGAGGCGCCTTGCGGTTTCTTCGTTTAGAAAAGACATTGGGCTGCCCGAATCGGCAATAGCAAACAATTGTTCGGAATTGGTTTTTAGTTTCACAATATGTCCGTTTAGATCATCTTCGATCAATGTTATTGTATTCTTAATCTCAAATGATTCCTCGATTGCCATTACCAAAAAGTTGTCTATTTGATAATTATCCCAACCATTGCTGGAAGAAAATTCTGCAAACGCCACTCGGTCGTTTTCTGTTTCCAAGCTTTCGGTGTCAAGCTCCTCCTGTTGGTCAATTTGAGTATCTTCAAGATAGTTGACTTGTGTTGATCGGCATACTTTGGCAAAGTGCCCCCGTTTCGCGCATTTTGCACAAATTTTATCTTTAGCGGGACAGGTCTGTAAATGATTCTGGTTATACTGGTTGCCGCATTTATAGCACTGTTTTTGGTTTCCTGTGTTTGTAGCCCTTGGTTGTCCTCTGTTATTTTGTGATCACCGTTGAAACGGTCTGCCGCGGGCGCCTCGCCCTCTTTGTGTGTTCTGATTTATAGAGTAGTTCGCGCATCCTCGGGTGTTAATGTAATTAACCGGTTCTTGCTTTGTTGTAATTTGATTTCCGCCGAAAGGGTTGGTTTTCATAGTTCTACTATGTTCGATACCTTTCTCCCGGCGGGTTGCATATTCCCGGCGGGTTGCATTTTTCCCGGCGGGTTCAATAGTTCCTCTGCTATTTTTTCGTTGTTCATGTGCGCTGTGAACATGTCACAAACCCATTCTTCCTCACGGTCTCACCAATCTGCCCGCAATGCCAATTCCACGAGATCCGAATGGAATTGTTCTAAACTTTGATTCTTTTTCTGTTTTCGACAAATGAAATTGTATCTTTTGTGATAAAAAGATGATTTGAGTTGTGATAAAAATATCTTCGAGGGTTGTCAACATTTCTTGGGTAGAAACGGTGTGTAACTCCAGATTAGGCCGTTCGTGTTGCAATTGTCTTTGTCCTTCCGCTCCTACGCATAAAAATATGTAGCTGCGTACTTTCGCGTCTGCTTCGTCCCATCTGAATGAGTTACAAAGTACACCTTTTTCTCTCGCTTTGATTACATGGTTTTCCCAACCTATTTTTTTCTCTTGATTTCTGACTTCTCTGTTCTTTCTTGGTGCATCATTTTCTCCTGTGATTTGAAGTTCGACACCGCTCTGCTGCTTCGACTAACGTTGGTCGGGCTCTTAATAAATTTCGTTCTTCTATACAAATCTTTCGCGAATATTGTCATTTCCATTATCGCCGCCCACTTGGACTATTCTAGAGGTGGTTCGGCCGATGCCTTCTCCCAAAAGGGGTTTATGTTGATTGGGTTTTTGGAATATCCTGATGGCTGCGCCATGTCATACCTCAATGTATGAACGTTTGATTCCTGAATCCGAATGGATCGACAAACAGATAAGCTAACGCGGAGCGAGATAAAACGACCAATTTAAGCAAAGGTTTATTCTTGCTCTGACCGTTCATTCGGTCTGTGTTCGAAATGAGATCTCTCAAGGTCGATTGACCGACTAAATGTATGTTTATGGCATGCAACATCATAAACATATGTGACAACATAAATCTTAAATGTCAATGTATATATATCTGAGTTTTGTCGGTCCATGCCGGATGACAGTCTTTTTCTGGTTTTATTTTTATCATCAAAAGTTATACTTCTAGCACCAGCGGATTTAGGGGGGAGGGGCGGACGCTTGCCCCCTCAAGAATTCGACCCCCTCAGGATTTTGCCACTCTCAGGAATTTGAAGAAGGTCCCCATTTGTACTATTTTGAGATACCATTTTTGGCGAGGGAACCTAATATTTTTCTAAAGGTGCCCTATGCTAATATATGCTAATTAATACTAATTAAATATATACTAATTTTGAGGGGGGCGCCGAAATAACGCCATTTTTCGGTCAAACTTTTCCAAAAATTGCCTAAAAACGTCTTTTTGGCCTGTTTTTTCAAAATTTCGCCTGTGGCGCAGAAAATTTGCTCAAAATGGGGGTATTTATAAGGATTTAAGAGAGCTCAGAAAATCAATTTGGTCGACCTAAAAAAATGTCGACAAAATTATAAATTTTTTTGAAAATCCGCCTCCCTCCTTCGAGAAAACCTTTGATCCGCCCCTGACTTCTAGTTTTATTTTATAGTTTGATCAATTTTTTCGATAACGTCTAAAATTTTTGAATCATTTCCAACCTTCTTTTAAATTGTTTCACCTTTTTATTGATTAATAAAAGCATGAAAACATATAACATTTTTATAATAGAGTATACTAATAAATTATACTTATATTACTTATACTAAAAACACACTATTCTTTTTCAATTTTGCGAGTCTCGAAAGTTTTGTTCTCGAAAATTTCAAACTAAATCTGCTCCAGTCATGAATTTTTCTCACCGGTAGTTAAAATGAAAGCTGTCGGTTCACTCTCTAACAGTCCAGTTTCAGATAAAGTAACCACCTCCGCCTCGTAAAGTGTCCCGTAATTTCGATAAGTCACCTGGAAGTCATCCGTACCCGAGCTTGTCTCGGCTGGAAACTCTGGCATCAGCGTAACATTATTAACTTCTAGCTTCCGTGTGCGGTTGTCGTATAGTTCCCAGGTATAGAGTCGAAACCCGGACCACCCGATACGGTCGGGATTCGGCGGCTGGAAATTGAAGGAAATAGTTCGGGGATCTACATTGTTCGATGGGCCTCCAAGAGCACCGAATGACATCACGGGGAGAGGAACTAAAACAAAACAAGATAATTAGCAATCAGAATGGAAACCATGTAACGACTATGTATAGATTGCTGTTGACCAGGGGCGGATTTAGGGGGGGGGGAGCGGTTGCCACCCCCCTCAGGGATTCGACCCCCTGCCGACCCAAAGGGTCCCCCCTTTGATACTTGTTCAGAAATCCATTTTTGGCCGACCGACTCAAAAATTTTTCATTAGAGTGAACCATTACTATTATCCGAGATTTCAAAAAAAAACCGATAATAACTAAAATGAGGCTCAAAAAATAAAAGTGTTTTTGTGTGTATATGCCTTGATAAGTATATAAAGTACTTTGATACTTTTTCAGAAATCCATTTTTGGCCGACCGACCCTAAAATGTTTCTAAAGGCGCCTATGGCGCCAATATATACTAACTCTGAGGGGGAGCGCGCGCCAAAAAAACGCGATTTTTTTGTCAAAATTTTTCAAAAAGTGGCCAAAAATTGGCTTTTTTGACAGTTTTTTCAAAAATTAGCATGCGGTGCAGAAAATTTTGCCAAAATAGGGGCAAAACAGTGCTTTGGGAGAGCTCAAAAAATAAATTTGGTCGACCTAAAAAAAAGGTCGTCAAAATTTTTGAAATTTTTTTGAAAATCCGCGCCCCCCCTCGAGAAAATCCTAGATCCGCCCCTGGTGTTGACTATGACTACCTCCTTCCATAGGTTGAGCTGAAACTGTAGTATTCAACTACACTTTAATTATTGCTATTGTTATTTTGTTTACAAAGTAATAGCGGATTTTTTATGCGATTTTAATAAGAGACAGAATATCTCACTACCTAATCTTATGTCTATCAGGAACTAAAGCCATTACTATTATCCGAGATTTCAAAAAAACCAATAATAACTAAAATGACCAAATGCCTCATCTGCCTTGAATTTTATTTCTTTTTATAAAAGATCCATCAAAGGATGCCTCTACAGCCACCACATTTAATTTGCGTTCCACGCTACAATAAGCTAAAAATGCATGCGAGCAAAAACATCATTTGGAACAATACGATATCTGAAATGCAGACAAATTATTTAAGAGATTTAACAGAAAATGATATCCGTAAAAGGGCAAACATTGAACGTAAGAAGGAACATATGGTTGTCAAACATCCTTCTTTAAAGAAGGCAAAAAATGTGCCCTATATGTCATATTAAAATTCCATTTAACGATACTTGAACATAAGCCACCATTCCTTTACTTGAAAAAACATTGTTTAGGAAGATGTTTTGCTAAGCAATGGACACCAATCTTGTTTTTCAATTTAACAAACTAGTCGAAGTCGATAATCGTATTGTTAACACCTTACATTTTTTCCCCGATCAGTCAAAGCTAAGTATCCAATACAGCAAGCTTAGTGGATTTGATGAAAGACGAAAGAGTCATTTTCGCGGAGCCTACTACTCCTCAATACCGAACCATTTTAAGCTCATTTATAAACTAAGAAACTTCTATCAACATCAATTTATTGTCACATATCCAAAATTCACGAACTTTGCAATAATCAGTTCCTAGGCATTTAATTTTGTAAACATTCAATATAGTTAGCTTTTCTTTTGAACTCTTTTTGTTTTCTCTAATCTAAGCTAAATTGATTTTCCCTTCAACATTAGTAACTATAACACTTTACGTAAGGTACATTATAGAACAAGCCCCTTTTCGACCAATCAGCACAAGTCAATTGAAAAAACTGTATATGAAAGCCCCATGTTTGATCAAGCCAAAAGAAAGTCTGGAAAACACAATAGCCGCCATCCAAATCGCCCTCCTCCTTTCACTTGTGAAGACTGTTATACTCAAATTGAACATCACATTGCTATGTTTGGCAGAATTTTTCGTCGCTTTTGCCAAACACCGACTTAAATGATCACACTTTGGAATTATTTTCCTAGAATTTAGCAACTAACAAAGAGTATAGAATACGAAAGTTTTTAATCAGTTACCATAATAACAATGTTAACGATTATTTTTTTTCTTTTTCCTAGACATTATGTTTCTTCTAAACCATTGTGTACATTCTCCTTTGCCCAATAAGGAAATAATTCCTTTTACAGAATGTCGTGAACATTGAAATGCCCGTTGTGCCTAGACGATTTAACATACAACAACACAGTCGTAATGAAATGGAAAGGTGAATTTGATCATTGAACTTGCATTGCATTTCATCATGATATTTCGACAAGACACCGAAAACCGAAATGTCCAATCTGTCAAAAACCCATAACTTTAACTCGGACATCAGTTGGGACGGTGAACCGTCCCATTGAATCTCTTTAATATCCTAACAAATAAGTACGATTGTCTATTGAAATATATTCTAATTATTTGCGGAACTTTTTTTGTCATTCTGTGTTTTTTCTATGTTCAGTTGGATGCGGCTGATTTTTTGGACGAGTTTTGTAAATTAGAGGTTAAATTATGCCCAAAAGTAAATTATATTACGCACTCAAAACTGATGTGTATGACGCAAAAAAAATCACTATCATCATTGTTTAGAATGGAAAAATACGACCCAATAAGCAACTAGGTACTTAGCGAAGGGGTCCAGGACTGGGATGACAACCATTTTAAAACAAGAAACATAATCAACTAAAAAAGCTACACTATAACCCCAGGATTGGACGCGCCAAAAATCAGGCAAAAAGAACTGCCGGTACTACAACAATCTTATCATCTTATCGTTTGATGATGAAAAAAACAAAAATAAGATTCATTTCCCCGCCATCAAAGAGAAAATTGAGTCCCAAAGAAAACGAGAGGCTGTTTTTGATCGAAACAATCCAATTTTGTAACTAGCTTAGAGTACTCATTAAAAACAGAATATAAAAATGGACCCTATCAGAAAAGATTACCTAACAAATTCCATAACACAAGAAAAAACTGAAGTTTTTTTCAAGCTCTTTCGCACCTGCAGAGTATGGGCTAAAATAAAAGCCTGCAAAAAAAAGTTGCAGGACTAGAAAGAAGATGGATGCACACGGCCTAATAAAATCAGGCAACAATTTAAAAAAAACATTAGAAGCAATAATTGCCTTCCCGAACCTTAAAATGAGGTAGACGACCTAAAAATTCTGAACCTAAAAAGAAAACTCTCAAACTGAAAAGAAACAAAAAAACGAGATATAAAAGTGGTTGTCGAGCAGCTAGCAACAGCCGAGAGGAAGAACCGGAACATCACCTCATACAAATAGAGCTGGAATAAAAATAAAAAACTTTGCATAGATAAATGACAAAAGACTGCTGGTTTTAATTTTCAAGTAAAATTTTTCAGCCTATTATATAATTTTTACACTTATAAATTTTTACTTCAAAGAGGAAGTAAAAGAACAGATGGAGCGTTTCATTATCTTAACAAAGGGGGTGACTTGTAGTATTCGTTTAGATTTTATTTATCGCTATTGTTATTTTCGTTTACAAAATAGAACCGGATTTCTTATGCGACACTAATGTGAAACTGAATATCTCACTACCTAGTTTTATGTCTATCAGGAACTTATGCCTTTGCAATTATTTGTAAAAAAAACAATGCCTAAAACAACAATAACTAAAATGCCCGAAAACACTATCTGCCTTGAATTTTGTTTCTTTTCATAAAAAATCCATAAAAGGACGCCTTCACAACCACCACATTTTTTGCGTTCCGTTCTACAATAAGCTAAAAATGCGAGCAAAACATCATTTGGAACAATACCATATCCAATATGCAGACAGGTTATTTATTTGATTAACTCAACGGAATATAATATCTGTAAAAGGGCAAACATTGAATGTAAGAAAGAACATATGATTGTCAAACATACTGCTTTAAAAATTGCAAAAAATGCACTATATGTCATTTTAAAGTTCCATTTAACAATACCTGGTTATAAGCCATCATTCCATTACTTGAAAAAACACTATTTAGAAAATGTTTTGCTTTGCAATTGATACTTTTCTTGTTCTTCAATCTGACATACCAGTAAGTGTCTATTACGTACTCGTTATCATTAACACCTTATACAATTTTCATGATCAGTCTAAGATAAGTATCCAATACAGCAAGCTTGTTGGAATTCACGAAGGAGTCATTCTCGTGGAATCTACTAGTCCTCATTACCGAACCGCTCTAGCAGCATTTACAAGAAAATAAATTTCTTTCGACATCAGTTCATTCCCCGATACACAATATTCCCAAACTTTGCAATAATCAGATACTTAGCAGTTAGTTTTTTAAACTTTCCTTAAATTGAAAATCAGCTATATTTTTGATCTCTTTTTTTTGTAGACTGTTCTCCCTTGAACTATAAATCCGGCAAGTGGCAAGCAGAACTAGAAGTATCCAGCGGACAAGGTAGAAGAGATGAGGCGAAGAAGATCCTCACTCTGAAAGATTTTGCTACACACGGTTTCACTTCGCAAACTAAGTAAGAAAAAATGTTTTATGAAAAAATCTTCAAACTTAAACTAAACTAGCACTGTCGATTATCAATGATACGTGAGACTTAAATTTGATTACGGAAATAAACTGGAACCGCTATAAGATAAGCAATCGAGTTTTTTTATCATAGAGGATGTCAATCTTGGTGTCAGAAAAATCATTTGGTGTCAATAAGTACATTTCAAAACACTTAATTCCGAAAAAAAAAACACATTATGAGGCAATACTTAGGCTGGGAAAGCAGCATCATTTGTTGTTAGTAAATCTCTGGCTTTTAGTGACAAGTCTTTAAACAATTTTCAAACTGTAATTTGACTCCACTAAAAAAATTTCTGTGGATCTTGCACACAAATACAAGGTAATGATAAATTTGACGCCTCGCTAGTTTCGTCGCGGGTATAGCAAAATGTTCGGATTTTGCAAACGCAAACAGGTTCTGCAATTGAAAGCAACTTCAAGTTTGGTTGGAAATTTCGCAAATTCGAATAGTCAGAATTTAATGGGCTCTCAAAAACCTCGGCCGCAAAATATAATTTGATAAAGTTTGTTTACTTTTATTGAAGAAAAAATACTGCGTTATCAATGATATATTTGCTGTAATTTTCAATGAAACATCTAAGATTTAGCGATAGGAATTAATTTTTAATGCGATACCAGTGAATCAGTGATTGTTATCAGGTGTCTAAAAACATTTATCGAAGATTGTCAAAATGTTTTTATTCGTTAACTCTTTTTGGATGGACGACACGTTCTTATGGCAAATCTCTATTAACCCATAAAATAACTACATTTTTTAAATTTTAAGGAAATGTGGTCCATTTTACCGCATAAGCTGAGTTGAATTGCAACGGCTTCAATTACCATTTTAAACACTCCAATGCCCTCTTTTTTGTTTGTTTGAGTCAAAAGTTGCAGCAGTTATAGCGTTTACTTCCCGTGTAGAGGTTGCGGTTTTTTTGTCAGACAAGTCGCAACCAAATTTTGGTATTTCCAGACTGGTTTAATTGAATTTGGATGTTTTCAGACATCCGCGACCAAAATTTGGTGTTTCCAGACTTTGCAGACCGAGGCAATGTGTCCGCGATTGGCGCAACCGAAGGAAAGTTAAACGCGTCCGGCGCGACTGAAGAAAAGTTAACCGCGACCGGAGCGACTGAAGAAGACTCGGTGACTCTGCTCCTTTCCAGTTTTCCACACATTCGTAAAACTACACATTTAGGCTGTTCAAAAATTGTTCACACGGCATTTTTCATGTAACATATGTTGTAAAAATTTGTTCAACTGTTCACGATGACACGTTTTGATGCAGTTTATGCAGAAAAAATCAAAGGCAGGTAGTGGAAAAGAACCACTGACTGCACGAAATTAGCATCTAAATAGAGTTCAAGTTCCAATATATCAGAGTGAGAAAGTATAATGGCTAGCATGATAGGATTGGATGCCGTTAACGTGTCTTCGACTCTCTCATTAGGCTGCTAAATTATGACCCTACCGCGACTAATTTTTCGACTATCGCGACCGAGGTACGGTATTTCCAGACGTTTTCTGCTACTTAAAACCCTGTCCAGACTAGACTATTGATTTTTTGTTGCCGAATTAACATCGGGGCTACCGGCAAATTCGAAAAATAAGTTATAAAAGGGTTATAAAAAACAGAAAAAAGATTGCAGTATTTATTTGCTGCACTCTGCTCTATCTACTGGATTTAGATTGCAGTATTCATCTGCTGCAAAAACATGCTGCAAATAAAATGAATTATAAATGAATTAATCATTTTTTTGTAGCAGTTTGTTTTTTATTTGATATTTTTCCATTATTGACGTTGTGGCCACAATTATGGGAAAAGATTTTCATAGACATTATGTAAAAATCAAGTTCTACATAATGGCCATACATTGTTCCACATCCTTTACGATTATCGCTGCGAGATGAACACGGGAACGCATACAGTATAACTCAGTCAGTATTTCACGAATTGTTGTAACACCAACTTACTTGTTCGCCTGATTTTTGAGGCTTATTGTAAAACAAATAACCATAGAAATATTGCACAAGATTGATCACACATGGAAATTGTTATTTGCTCAGCAACATAGCTGTTAATTTTCTAAATAGATTCAGATTCGTCGGCTAAAACTGTTATTACCTGTTTCTGCTACAAGCTCTACAGTCGGCGAAGAAGAATCTTGGTATGACACAGTAGTCACTCTAATTTGGTAGGGCACTCCGGGCGTCAAACCAGACTGGACCAGAAAAGGGTCACGCCTAAATTTAAAAATGATCAGTGCATGATTTAATGAAAAAACCCTGTTCAACTAGTTGCTACAAGATTTTTAGATACTTCTCAACATTTAATCATCATGTAGGTAATGCTCAAAGTCATTTCTATGTTTTATATATTAAAACAGTATTAGTTAACAAATTAGGTCTGACGACTCAAATCAGTGAACTTAAAAAACAACACTTGATTTTGCGATCACATGAGTTGAAGACTGAAATTTGATTCAAAATTAAATTTGAAGCAAAAAAGCAAAATAAAATTATGATCCTAGCAGTTTTAGAAATGTATTTTAAGTATTTTTCTATAAATTTATGAGTTCTATAATTAAATTCTTCATTGACACTGATTATAACAAGAATTATATGCAACTCAGTTTACTAATCTGGTAATTTACTGGTACATAAATACATACTTAATAATACGCAAAAGAACATTCGAAACATTATGCCAGCAAAACCCGATTATCACGGCCTCTTTTGAAGCCGAAGCAACCTAACTGAGGTAGCAGGACAACTTATCCAATTCCATTTTATCCTATCCCATGCTACCCTGCGCCAATATACCTTCCGTCTAAATTAAGACAAATTATAACAGCAAAATAGTGATCGCCGCAGTCGCGCCAACGTGTAGCGAGCTTGCCTACAGAGGGGAGAGGAGGACTCTGTACAAAAATTGGAGCAGGCAGGTTGTCATGGAACCCTAACTGATAAACAAACTGTTCGAAATTTCTTCCTTTCTACCAAATCAATCATGGCGAATACTTTTGACGGTCAGTTTTTGCAATTTTCACCTCAAAAACTTGGAGGCAAAAAATTTTTTTCTTGAAAATACATTATTTTCTGTACTTCTAACGGATTAATAGCAACAATTTGTCGGTTTTTGTTTAAATGTTTGCCAAGTTTTTTTTTCCATTTTTATCCACGAGGGATAGGACCAACATACGAGCTGTACAGCCCATCACGGCGAACCGCTGTTGTGCCCCTGCTTAAGAACTACATGCAATTTTTTTGGTTATTTTTCTGGGCTGGGTAATGTTGCCTCACCCTCAAGCAACGAGCACGGATCATGGTGGGCCTCGAACATCCGACCTTTCGATTGAGAGGCGGAGACGTAACCACTTCACCACTGCTCCCCTTCACTTCACCACTGCTCCCCTAGTTGTTAGTTTTTTCAAACTTTTTAGTTTTTAAATTTTAAGGTGTCTTTAAAAATCGTTTTCAAAAATATCTTCTCACAAGCAAGTAACTGATATTCAAGGTATCGAATTTTTGTGATATTAACACCATTGTTATTTAAGCTAAGATGGTTGAAGTAAACATTTTTTTTCCATTTCCTTGTCTGTTTTTAAATAAGTGATAGCAATGTTTTGTTAGATTTGGCTCAAAAATATGCCAAATTTTGCTCAAACATTTTAATTTTCATAATTGAAAAATGTGTTCAGAAAAATTTCTTCAAATTCATTTGACAGTTTACTGATATTCAAGTTATTAAAACTATTGCTGTTGAAGCCAAAAAGTTTGAATTGAAAATTTCTTTTCTTCAATTTACCGTTGCTTGTCGTTTTTTTATGATTTCGACAGTTTGTAAATTTTCTATAAAAAAGGTATAAAATTTTTTTTTTCAGAATTTTAAGGGATCGGTACAGAACATTTTTTTATAAATTATTCCATATTTCATTAATTTTTAAGATACTAAAGCCATTCATTTTGACGACTGCTACAGCAAAATTATGACGATTGCTACAGGTACCTTTCATTGAATTGAAGTTTTTGTTTCGTTCACGCTTTATTTTCATTTTTTTCTGAAAATTTTTTATAACATTTTTTGATGAACAAGTCCCATATGCTGGCTTATAACATTCATACAAAACAATCAAAATTGAAAATTTGAAACAAATTTTTCTGAAATTGGGTTTAGTTTAGACAAAAAAACTTATTTTAAAAAATTGCTTGGTCGTTTTACAGAAATTATGTGCCATCTGATTTGTAAAATCAGCTAAGATTATATCCTTGAAACAGAACAAAATAATTCTTTCAAAAATTAGCAGAAAGAAACAGTCAATCAATGTTAATTCAAATCGATTGAGTTTTATTGTTTGATTAACAATGAGCCAAACAAACTTTCACGCTTAAAAAGTGCAATTTTATGTCTGAATTTCAAAAATGCACTATAAAAATTCTGATAAAATTCCGAGCGTTTTTTTTCTCACAGCCAATTTCACCCAATTAACCGAATTTCAGGTAAACGAGCTTGAAACTTCAGTTTTCTTGCTTTTATCCACTTATACACCAAGCAATGTAAGAGCTTGCTTAACATAAAGTGCAGTGAAGATTCGGTAAACCGCAAAAAATGAGCCAGTGATTAAAAAGCAATTGTACTTACATAAAAAAGTCAACAAAGTTTTGCTGAGCCAAATGACACATTTTTCTAAGTGCGATTGGTTTTTTATTCATTGGCTCATTTTTTGCGGTTTACTGAGTTTTCACAGCACTTTGTGCTAAAGAATCTCCTACATAGTCGATTTATTCAATTGAACTGGCATAAGCAACAAAATTGACTTTTTCGAGCTCACTTTTGTGAAATTGGGTTAAATTTAGGCAAAAACTGTGAGAAGAAAACGTTTGACATTTTACTGGCTATTAAAAAAACAGTGGCCTTATTAATCTCCCGGGTTGACCTCTATAGACTGAAAAAGTTAATACACTTAGCTACAATTTCATATACCTAGTCTATGGAAAAAGGCTAGTAATACAAGTTTCATACATTTTTGCAAAATAGTTTTCTAAATCGAGTTTAATCGAGTTCTAAAGGTATTTAATTATTGTATTGGTATCGAAATTGGTATCTCTTCATTAAAAAAATGGTATTAAAAAGTTCTAGTCATACATTTTCCATATTTGCAAATTGTATGATTAGTATTTAAAAATTTTTTTTGTGATAGAAAAGCTGTGAACAATCAGTTCAACTACTGGAAAAACATTTAAGCTTTGTTTGGGCTGCTTCAACTGAAAAATTTGATTTTTTTTATTTTTGTTTCCCGAATGTTTTTCATTTTTACCAACTTCAGTTTTTGTTGTATCTCGAGTTGCGGGGAGCTCCGCTTCGCCTCTGTGTTTTTAAAAACTCGCTTTGTTTTGGTCAAAAACATATCTGAAGGTCATCCGAGAATTCGTATCTGAGGATACTTAGTCGAAAGTCAGCCAAACGATGGCACTTAGAAACACGTTTTTGCACATTTTTACCTTGTAAATCGGTGCAATATGGTGTTTCTGTGTACCATCGCTTGGTCGACTTCTGATTGCACCTTCTCATACATCTTCCAAAAGTGATCTCAAAGGTTGATAATTCTAACGTGGGTAAAATAAAGGATTTTTGTGACATTTAATTGTTTGTTCAGGTTTAAATGTTTGTTTCAATTTTTCAATTTAAGGGTAAATTAATTGTGTATTTTATAGGGAACTGTTTTAGATGTTGATGCCAGATGTGATTGGAAGAGAAAAATTCCAGATTATTGGTGCCTCTGGTGGACTGTTTCTTGTTATGAATTACTCAGCTAGCTAACAGGTTTTTTTTCTTAATTTTTCTGGGGCAGTCCCTTCTGGTATGGAGTCCCCCTAGTATAAGATTCAGAAATGCCGTAATTTTTTAGCGTGTGAGGAGAATTTACTATGAAAAAAATAAAATGTTCCCTGATTTGTTCTTCTCTGTTCAGAGAGTGCCCATCGTATGTGATGGGAGTTAAAGTAGTTTTTACCTCATTTTGCTGCTCGTCGTATGGGATGGGAGTTAAAGTTGTTTTTGCCTCATTTTGCTGGATTTGTAATTGTTAAAAAATGTTAATCTTAAAATTTTCATAAATGAAAAAGTTCTAAGTTCCAAATATTGGTTTCGAACTAACCAATAAACTGACTCTGCCAGTTTGGCCATGGATCAACAATTAAATTGCAATTATTGATTTTTGGATAAATATATTGAACCTAATTTTACAATCAGTTTGAAACTTTCACCGGATTAATTCTGCGTAATAAGTTTTGTCTTCTTCACTTTTTGTCTAAGGTCAACCACCCAATATGAGAAAAATGCGTGGTTAAACTCAAGTTTTTTTCCTTTTGTCTGGGTATTTCAAATCATTTTTTTTTGTTTGTCGAGTTTGAGTTCGACATTAAATTAGCATTGAAAAAAGGTTGAAAAAAGATAACAAAACTGCTTACGTCCTGTCTGTGAAAGTTGTGAAATATGAATTGTCTTGATCGACCGCCATGAATTGTACCCGTAAGAAATTGTACTGCCCCTGAGCGGGGGGATCCCAAGTGATGACCAGATTATCTGTGCCCCTCTCAATCAATGCCAAATTAGTCACAGGGGTAGGATCTGAAAAAAAAATTATGCGGTGAGTATCCCGGTATGAGTTGCTCTGCTAGTTTCGCCCACGATATCTGCAGAAAACGTGAGCAATATATCTTGTTTCTTGTGCATGGAACAAAAACCTTGCAAATTATCCCAAAATAAACCCTAATTTTTTAAACACTATGCAAGAATAATGTGATTTACTGCTAAATTTCTTGATAATTGGGGATACTGCTTAAGTTTGTTGTGTCTTTTAGGAGGGAAATTGCCCATTTGGCTGATGCAGAAGGATGTTTGTTCACAGGACGCAATTGCTCAACCGACAATATCAAATACAGACTTGGTTTCTGATTTGGGAATTTTCCACAGATGACTTGCCTGTTATAATTTCGAGTGATGTCCCCCATGAAGGGAGTTCGTTGAACCCCTGCACAATGAAGAGGTACCAAGTGCCAGACTCAGCCACTCCCAAATCCATATTCTGGAACTGATTACTCTCACTGTTGATGAACTCATTTGTGAGATCGAAATCAAAAATGAAAACTTCTTGGTTGCTGTTGTCTGCAAAGTGTCCCACTTCCCGACGTGCCCTGAGATGCTCTGCTGAATCAAAATGTGGGGGATCGTATCAAGTGGATGTATTTCTCTTTCAAAGAACTTGAAACAGCTTGACAAGTTTAAACATTCTGACATTATAGAACCTATCTAAGAATTAAAGATGCTCTCGCCCAGTAGCGGATTTAGGAAGGAGGCGTGGGTGGGGGTGGGACGCCTTCTTTTAGGGATTCGACCCCCTGCCGACCAAAAGGGTCCCCCTATTGTACTATTTTGAGATATATATTTTTGGTGAGGGACCCTAAAATTTTTCGTAAGGCGCCTTTTTGATGGGGGAGCGCGCGCCGAAAAAACGCGATTGTTTGGTCAAAATTTTCCAAAAAATGTCCAAAAATGCCTTTTTTGGCCTGTTTTTTTTCAAAACTCTGCCTGCGGTGCAGAAAATTTGATCAAAACAGGGTCTTTTTAATGCTTTGGGCGAGCTCGGAAAATCAATTTGGTAGACCTAAAAAAAGGTCGACAAAATTTTCAGTTTTTTTTTTATAAAATCCGCCCCCCTCAATAAAATCCTAGGTTCGCCCCTGCTCTCAACCCTTTATTTTTGGATATGACTAGCAAAAATGTATGGTTGAATCACTTCGGTGTACCAAGGCCCAATAATCGACATTTTTTCTTTCGATTGGTCCTATAAATTTTTCATTTCGAAACTATCTAATGAACTCACCTGATCCGTGGATGTATTCAGTTGCACGATGCACTCTTACGCGTATCAGTTGGCAAGTTGTGTCATTTAGCATAATCCCGTTGAGAAATAAATTTCCATTTTGAACACTGACAGTCAATTCATTCCTCTCGACAGAAAACGAGTTTGGTTCTAAAAAATTTCCAACCTTGGCATCGACGCCGATATATATTAATATTGAGTTTTTTAAATGTTTGTCGAACATTACAACGACCGTCTTTTGACCTTAAAAGCGGTCGTTGAAATTTTTGAATTTATCTGAGAATCTCAATCGTCCATGGTCAAAATTTAAAGAGTAATCACTTTTGCTCATGAATGCCCCTCGTAGAAAATGGAAGCTTCTGCTCAAAAGCTTTTTGTTTTGACTGCATTTTCTTTTTGCGAGCCTTATGGACTTTCGAAGAAAATATTTTAATTTTTATTCGTGAGAGCTAGAAGAGCGAATCTAGGCGGGTTTTCTAAAAAAAACTCAAGAAACAACAAGAAAAAACAACAAGAAAGCTCGCATCAGGGCAACGCACTGAAAGTTTTGACGGTCTTTTCACGTCTATGGTGTACTGTTGGTTTTTGAAAAAAAGTTGTTGTAGTAGATTTTTTTATGAAGCGTTTTTTCTGACTTGATTTTTTTTTTGATTTTCTAAATTGATTTTCTTTGATTTTCTGTTGATTTTCTAAATTGATTTTCTCAAATTTAGTCTTCAAAAATGGTCTCTGTAGTGTTCTGGTGGAGCGCTGGGAAAATCAATTTAAGTGATCTAAGAAAAGGTCGACAAAATTTGAGAAAATCAATTTAGAAAATCAACAGAAAATCAAAGAAAATCAATTACAACAACTTTTTTTAAAAACTAACAGTACACCATAGACGTGAAAAGAACGTCAAAACTTTCAGTGCGTTGCCCTGATGCGAGCTTTCTTGTTGTTTGTATTTATAAAAGTTCGGCAGCTTGAAGAAACGAAGCATGTGCAGGCTTTAGGAACAAAATCTATGACAGCCAAATAGCAAATTTCATCAATGAATATTGCTTACAACTTAAGAAAATATCACCTGTGAAAGCAACTGCAAATAACTGAATTTGACTTGACTCTGCATTGGCTGTTATAGTGACATTGTAGGCCATTCCAGGGTACAGTCCAGTCAACTCAACGGTATTTTCAATCGTATTCAATTCATTTATGCTTCTCAGAGAATCAGTGTTAACAAGTCGTCGCGTGACTTCATTAGTGGCCCAGGGTACGGCATTGATGGTGTAGAAGTTTGCATTTGGGATGGGGTCCCAAGCGAACCAAAGGGACTCCGTAGTTTTGTAGATAAGGTATATTACCTGTTCCTGAGAGCCACCTGACGCTAAAATCACATATTTCTAGCATCGTTTTTATTGGTCGGCCTTTCGCAGAAAGTGAGGAATATTTGTTTTAGGTGGTTTTGAGACGCCACTATTTATAATGGGCAAAAGTTTAGTAACAGGCGGCAATTCTTAATAAGACCCCGCACTGACAAAAATGGATTAGGATTGATTTTAGTATGAAAAAAGTACGTTGATTAAATTTAGATCGATTATAGTGAGAAAAAAGTGCGCTAATTAATTTTAGATGGATTTTAGTATGAAAAAAGAACGAAGATTAAATAAAAAAGATGAAGATTGATTAGGATCGGTTTAAAATCGATTTAAATTGATCTTAAATCCCAGCTAAAAAAATTGATCCAAATCGATTTTAAAAACTGATCCAAATCGAGATTTATCAGTTTCGTTTTTTTTTTATGTTGTTATTCATTGCCTATCTTTTATGATTTTACATCCATAGCGTATTGTAGCATAAAAAAGACCAAATAAAAAGACCAAAATATCGATAAAATTCTATAATTTTCTTGCATATTTTGAGTTCAAAAACTGATTTATTTTGACCCTTTTCTTGATTTGTTTTTATAAGTTTTGCCCAAAATCTGATTTACCTTCATAATATTCAATGACTTAATTGCATATTAATGAGATCAAATTTTGATTTATTCTGACCCTTTTGTTGTTTGTTTCATAAGATTTTGCAAAATCTGATTTACAATAATTTTCTATAATTTCATTGCCAATTTTCGAGCTTAAAATCTGATTTATGTGGATCATTTTATTGAGCTCTATAACATCTGGCACGAGTGTTTATATTTAAAAATTCGAGAATAAAAAATTCCAACAATTTTTTTAATGGATATATATTTTTTGTCGCGTTAGGTTAGCAAAAAATTGATATTAGTGAGTCTGAAAATCCCTCTAAATCGATTTAAATGGATTTTTAAGACACTCAGATCGTTCCAAAATTTTCAAAAAGATTAATTTAAATCGATTTAAAATCCAGTTAAGTTCGTAAAAAAACACTGTTAATCGATTTGGATCGATTTAAAATCGATTTAAAATCAATTTAAATCGATTCGAAACCATTTTTGTCAATGCGCGCGACAATTCAAATCAGAAGCCAATTCAAATCAGAATCCATTTAAGTTCGTAAAAAGTACACTGTTAATCGATTTGGATTGATTTAAAATCGATTTAAAATCAATTTAAATCGATTCGAAACCATTTTTGTCAATGCGCGCGATAATTCAAATCAGAAGCCAATTCAAATCAGAATCCATTTAAGTTTGTAAAAAGTACACTGTTAATCAATTTGGATCGATTTAAAATCGATTTAAAATCAATTTAAATCGATTCGAAACCATTTTTGTCTATGCGCGCGACAATTCAAAACACCGAGTTACGCGAACTTTCCCTCGCGTGTCGAATATCAGCGCAGCGGAGCAAGTGTTCGCCATTTGTCAATGCTTTGTTACAAGTTATCGCCTCTTCTGAAAAGTCACGTGTTACACATTGACGGCCTACTGGTTTTTCAGTAAGATGTAGGATAATTTTTACTAAGAAAAACTCAAGAGTGAGTGGGTATCTAGGATTTTTCCGAGGGGGAGGACGGATTTTTGAAAATTTTGACGAACTTTTTTTTTAGGTCGACCAAATAGATTTTCCGAGCTCTCCTAAAGCACTTAAAAGACTCTGTTTTGCGCCAAATTTTCTGCGCCGCAGGCAAGTTTTTGAAAAAAAAAACATGTCAAAAAAGCCGTTTTTAGGCAATTTTTGAAAAATGTTGACAAAAAAATCGCGTTTTTTGGCGCGCTTCCCCTCAAAAAATAGTATATATTGGCGCCAAAGACGCCTTTAGAAAAATTTTAGAGTTGGTCGGCCAAAATGGGTTTCTTAAAAAGTACCAAAGGGGGGACCCTTTGGATCGGCAGGGGGTCGAATCCTAAATCCGCCCCTGCCTAATCCGCCCCTGCAAAGCCTAAATCCGCCCCTGCACTCAGTTGCAGTCTGATAGTCGAATTAGGGCCGAAACTAAGTTCGAAATAGGGTCAAACTATGATAAAGCTAGTAAAAGCGGTCAGGTAGTGTTCTTGGCTTTTTGATGCTTGCACGCTTTGCTTGAACTCGTAATCTATCTTACTAGCTTGTACTTTCAAGTTTTATGTCTGATCCTGGAGCTAAGCCTTGGCCTTCCTCTCAAAAGTGACTCAGTCAAATCAATCAAAAAAGGAAAAAAAACTAATTTATGTAGATCACCATTTTATTACCATTTGCTCGTAAATATACATATAAAATGTAAATAAAATGGAAAATAGTGGAAACATTTGAAAACCAAAAGATCATGAGCAACCCTACTTTGAAGCCCTTTGTAATCAAGGAATCAAATGAGTAACCCTAGCAGAGACTCCTTGATGTTGCCATTTCTACTCAAAACCATAGTCAGTTGGGAAAAAGTCAATGAACACAATTTATCAGAAAAAAACTAACTACTTTTTTGAAAAAGTTTCAATTTTCAAATTTCAAAAAAATTGGTTGCCCTTAGGCTTTTTTGAATTTCTGGATTTATTTATGACTGGCATTTGTCGATAAATATAACTTAGTTTGAGAAAACTGCATCACTAGGTAATTTTTTTGTTCTTTCGCTGGGAAATCTGAAAATTAAATTCCATTTTTGAAACCATTTCCGTTTTTGTGATCTTTTAATTTTCGTTGTTTGATACGGGATTTTGCCTTCCTGTTAACAAAAGAAATGAACTGAGTCTTAAAAAGCTCAAAAGTCAAACTGTGAACTACTAAATTTGAGCCTGAGGAAGTCACAAGGTTTTTCCTGGAAAAAAAATCATCGCGATCTATATGAAAGTCTGAACATCATTGTTAATCGATTCTGAAAAATATAAACATCAGATTTAATATTATTTAAAAACTTTGTTAAATATTCATTTTAAGTTTCAAAGCGAAATAAGCGAACAGTCGTTTGACCTCGAGAAAAAAAAAGAAACAAAATTGAGTTGAAATATGAAATTAAACTTGAAATGAAATAAAGTTCTGGCCAAAACTTTCGTTTAAAAACAATCCCAAAACTTGACATTGATAAAAGTTTTTGAATATTAAGAACAATTGAGCTTAAATCTTTCAAAATTTTTTCTGATTCAATTTATAATTCTACTAATTTTTGTTATCCAAGTTACTTTTATTATTATTATTTTTTCTAAAAAAATTTATTTGACGGTTTATTTATCATGGATGTGGACCAACAAGTTGTTTTGGTGGGAACCTCAGTCAGCTCCATTCCTGCTTGAGGTTCCGTGAGTAAAACATGTGACACTAAGGTGGGCGAGTTACAAAAAGAAATTGATGGTCTTAAAATGATTTCGGGTTCTCAACAATTGCGTATTCAAAAGTTGGAACGGGACATACAGGAACGACTGCGTGCACAGAAAGTATATACAAGAAAAGATAGTATTATAATATTGAATCCGCCTTACGATACGCGCAATGTGAGAGACGTAACAATTGAAACCCTAAAATTTTTTGAGAGTTTTTTTGGGTATAACAATTAAGTATAAAGGTGTGAAAGCTTGCCATGTCCTGTCTCGTGATAGAGGTATTCTGCTTCCCAGCGTAATATGCAATTTCATTTACTTCGTGGACAAAACACAAGTCTGGATAAATAGAAGGGCTCTTAGAAAAAAGGTCAACCCAATAAAACAAAAATTTATTATTTTAAATGAAACATTGCCAAAAGCTGACGCGGAGATTAAAGCAACTGCTGTTTGTATGGGGTCGGAGACGATGACCAACAATTGCACTGTATCAGCTGCAGTTACTGGTGAAAATAGATAGAAAAAGTATAGAAAAATCAAAAACTTGGATGATATTAACAAATTGGAACCGAATGAGATCAAGAGAAAATTTGTTGAGGTTAACAAAAGCAGCAGAGGTGCAAGCAATAGATTCTAACCAGAGAGAAAAAACCAGATATGATCAACATATAGACTCAGTTACACTTTAATAAACTTTATTCAGTTATACGAACTGAAACTTTTTGTTGAGCATTTCATTTTTGTGTTATGATGAAACGAACAATATAATGAGTTGATACTAAAGCACCGTACAACTCTGCACTAACTAAACTTAGTTATTTTAATTATAATATTCCTTTTATTTCTTTTCCTTTGAGCTCTGGAAGTGATTTGTTTAATTTTTTCCTCTATTTTACAAATTGGTTTGAAAACTCATATGCCAAATTATGTCAGAAACAATTTAACCCAAACTTTTTCATATTGTTAGTCCAAATCAATTTCTGATTGCAATCAGACTGTCAGTTTCAATTGTCCTGCTTGTGATAACGCGAGCGTTTCAGGTTTTTTGTGATAACGCAACCTCTAAGCCTGTAAAGGGGCTTAGGGACTGGTTGTGCTAGTGAATTTTTGTGGGATCTGTGATAACGCGGAGTTGACACGAAATAAAAAACATTTTTTCTTTTTTATCTTGAAATTAAAGTTTCAATTTTATTATTGTGAAGGATGAGGATTTACTATATGATATAAATGAGGAAACTTCAGGTCTCTACAGTGAAAAAGTGCAATCGAAAACACGGCAAATCAAGAAACTTCATTTTTCTAAACAGCAAATTAAGGATAATGTTTACACACAAGATCAGCGTTTGAAACAGAGGGAGGTAGAATGGAAAATAATTCAGGCCAACTGAGTGAGTTCATGACTTTTGACCATAATTTGTTTTTTTTTCTATCTCAGATCAACAAAGACACACAAAGCAGTATATCTTGAATACCACTGAGTAGGTTCCTTCGCAAAAAATTACATCGCTACCAAAAAACCAAAGACGAATTTAAAGTTAGCCTAACTCAACTAAATTATTTGACTTGCGTTATATGTTGCACCAAAACCTGGCTTTCACCAAAACGGAATTCAATATTTTCACAATAAAAGAGTATCAAACTCTCATTGAACATTATCGCAAGCTTAGGGAAGGAGGGTA